TCGGACATAACGCCGTGTAGTCCATCGAAAGTCAAACCGACTTTTAGGAAGATAATGACACCTACATCTGCAGGGTCGAAAATGAGCCAAGTAAGAAACCAGAATAAACCAGGTTATCAGTCAGACTCACATGATGTTATATCCAGGAAGATACGTAGAACTCTTTATAACCACCGGTGAAAGAACCTCAAATCCTACAATAATACTTGTAAGCCGTAAGGTAAAAGTTGATCCTGTGCTTAACTAATTAAGCACTACGCCATGAAGACGTATGGGGGAGTGATGTATAGATCCATATTTTCTTGATGTCGACACTAGTTGGAGTTGAGAGGGCAGCTTCATGTGCCGGTCGCTTTAACCCCGGGGAAAGAGCCCCCGGTACCAATTGGAAAGGAGGCTGGGTGGGTCCCTGTGCCAGCCTGGACTCTGTGGAAAAGAGAAAATTCTTGACCCTACCGAGACTCGAACTTCGACTCTTCGGTCGTCCAGCCCGTAGCTAGTCGCTATAGGGACTCAGTGATTCCGGCTCATATTTCTTTAATTCCTGGTCTACATGATATATCCAGACTTGCACCCGCCTGTTTCTTCTGCTTGATCATTTCACGTCACGAGGATTCACATTAAAGGGCTTTCGTCCAGAATTCATGTCCTCTGTTAAAGAAGGGAAATGGTTATTAGCTCATAAAACGCGAATCAGCTTCAAGGCATTGAAACTGCCTTTCACGTGTGTTGCAGAAACCTGCGCTTGGGATGCAGAAGGACCGCTTCCAGGGAGCTTCTTGAGACGCCTGCAGCAACAATACTCGTATCTCGAAAGGAGAAACAGTTGACACCGGAAACAGTGAGTGAGTAATGACTCTGAGAATTCATTCAGTTGTTCCTGTGTCATTCTCTTCTCGCGATGTACTTCCACGTGCTGAACTCTGTGGTTCCTCTCTCCTCCCATTGTGACATTGACATGATGTCTCCTATAGATTCATTATCTGTACAGTCACTGGCAGATGAAACATGGTCCTAGAGGAAGGATTTTATATAAATGTAAACTTCTGAGTTCTTAGAGAAATAATTTTTCTTTCATGCAATAATTTTTTTTCATATTATCCTAGTTCTGATTTTTATTTCATGACTTTTCAGAGACGGTTATGTTTCCATCCTCAGGTAATAAGCGTATTATAGGCTCAATCGATATAACTAGTCCCTGTCTCCGGACGACCAGTTCTATCGATTTTTCCTAAGAAAATAAGTATTTACTTGAATACTGAGAGAGAATCGAGCCTCTGAATCGTCGTTTTAATGAAAATTTATTATTTTATTGATACATTGTTGTCACGAAATTGAGTCTAATGAATGTATAAGGGGTGGGACTTCTTGGCCCTTGCACCGCGTCCACAGTGATCTGTTGTGCCTCCAAATTGGGTCTAATTTTCTTCAATATTGAAATGAAACTGCCGAACAGGAGAAGTGACAACAATGAAGAATATATAATTTCTTACGTTACATTTAATGCATTTTTAATTAGGCGACAGAAATTCATCAAATTGTTTCAGCTCTGTCCACGTAAGGCTAACATCTCTAATTTCTACAGAATATCTACGCTGTATTTACTTGTAGTTACGATCTGTAAGTTGTCAATAAATCCAATTACCAATCTAAACCCCATATGCAGTCACGCATACACGTGTCTGTAAGTAAGTAAAGCTATCCCTGTAACAGGCCGTGAAGGCCCATAGGGTTGTGAGACGTTGAGGGTCCGACATTATCTAGACAATCGGCTCATAGATGGCGGTAAGTTTGTCAGCCTTACGCGCCGGCCGCGCTTTACTCCCCAGGAAAATTATTTCATTAATTCCTGGTACTCATTTCTGTTAGAGGCATCAGGGTCATAGTGCGGTTTAAAGGATTAAGTAATTTGAAAAAGAAAATCCATCTCATTGGGACTTGAACCCACGACCTTCTGGACCAACTATGCTATCGCATGCCCCGACAGATGTAAACCACGCTGATTTAAATTTAACTTTGTGCTTTTAAATGAGGTTGAATATTTTGGAAACAAAAGAACATCAAATTAAGAGGAGTATTCATTTTTAACACAATCACTTGGACTCTTTTTCCATTTACATATGGTTTATCTCGTAACATTTTCTCCTTGCATGAAGTGATTGAATCGTTATTGAAGCGAATATCGCTCATAATATTCTAGTGTCGCTGAGAGACAGAGCTGCTGCCATAGTCCCAGTGATGGTACAGTGGAACTATTGTATCACTATTTAAGAATACGTTATTTAAAGAATCATCAATGGAACGGGTTCTATAAAGGAAGTCATGGATACTCTTCATATTCGCTCCATACATGAGCATGACACGACACTTTTATACAGGAATCCGAGGCTTGTTAAGGGACAGCTACTGGGCTATTGGAAGGCTGTATAATGAAACCAGTTTAGAAGGAAAAGAAAACATTAAGTAGTGAAGCGTCACCTGCCGCCATAGAGCAGAGCTGTAGAATAATTATTGTGAGGCGAGCAACACGGAAGAACCTTGTTAATGACGCCTAGTTGTGTCACCTAATGAGATCATAAGATGTCCCAAAAGTGAGAGCTCTAATAGTAGGACAAGATTTAGTGATAATCAGGGCTATACGGTACGGCCTAAGCTTATTCAGGAGACTTTATCGGTATATATTGAAATATAAGAATTATTTGTGATTTATGTTTATGACGCACTCGGCAGGTTGACTCCACAGCATTGAATGATACAATTATTGATTAATTTGAAAAGGTTTGGAACGAAGTGTTCGTGATCTAAACGGCATTAGCCTCTAATCTGTACGGAGGAACACAGAAACATAGATAAATCTGTCAGGATAAACGGGGATCTTGCCGGAATTCTAACCTAGTACCCACCCCCACAAATATGAGTCCAGGGCAATACCGCTATGCCAACCAGTTCAGCGAACTATCGGAATTGTTATGCTTTATAACGATAAAGTCTGTCGTTCTTCTATAATTTACTGTTGGAACACTATGAATTATGTAAAAGTTAAAAAAAAAGGTAAAGGTATCCCTGTAACAGGCCGTGGAAGGCCCATAGGTTTGTGAGATGTTGAGGTTCCCACATTTTCTAGTCAATCGGATCATTGATGGCGCCAAGGTTGTCAGCCCTACGCTCCGGCCGTCCTTTACCCCCAAGAATATTCCAAGATCATTCCTGGTACTCATTTCTGTTAGAGGCTGAGACGACTCCAGAGTCATAGTGCAGCTGGAATGATTAGGTCAATTGAAAAAAAAAACAATGACTTCATCGGGACTTGAACTCGGGACCTTCCGGCTTGTAGCATAATGCCTCAACCTACTACGCTACAGCGTGCCAATTGTAAAAGGTAGAGAAGTAAAAGTTGTTCTTGTACTTAAATAATTAAGTTCTACGCCATGAAGAGGCAGGAAGAGTAGAGATATAACTCCATGAAGATTCCTGGTACTCATTTCTCTTAGAGGATGAGTTCATCTCTGGGACGTAGCGCGCCTGGAAGAATTAGATCAATTGAAAAATCCAATGATCTCATTAGGAATCGAACCCGCTGCCTTCCGGCTTGTAGGACAGTTCCTCAACCAACTACGCTGCAGCGTTCCCCCAGTTAAAACTTGGGTTTACAGATTTACCACTCCCTTTATGTCCGGGTTTCAGCTGCCTAGCTGCAACTCATCTCTCTGTTCCGAATGCCACGATGTGTCCACCTACGCACAGAATTATGTACCCTTACACGCCCATCACAGAAACAAATGTACATTCTTGAACTTAATTCTACATATGGACAGACGGACGGCTGGTTGGTTGGTTGGTTGGAATAAATTTACTTGGGCGTGCACGTCAGTGTTTGAGCGTGAAGTATGATAGTGCGATGCATAGGGCCCTACTGCCCTAACCCGTTGTTGAATACACACAACGTCAAGTCACGGCCCCTTGTATACACATGTGGCGTGGCCTGCCCTGTTATTAACATCGTCCATGAAAATGAACTCCTAAAGCTATGAAGAAGATATAACTGATTCGTTCATATGGACCGCTGTCATCGTCAGAGTAGACTGATATACATATTAGTTGTCTAAGAGTAAATCTACTTTTGTAGCTGCGAACATATCTCAGTCTCAATATTACTGTACTGATCCCACTACATTCGACGATTCGATTCATCGAAGCTCCCACAATAAAATACCCGATTGATCTTAGGTTCCCTGTCAATTTACGGGGAGACAGGACGACAAGATTCGGCCCACGTGATCCCGCGCTTAGTTAACACGGCCTCCGGCCCGACGCTTAACCTTTTCACACGCATAGAAACGGAGAATTCTGGTAACTCCCGTAACAAGAGTAAATGAATTAACTAACTCCATGGAGCTGAGGACTTGTTCAGAAGCCGCCAGTGATGCAACTATTCAAGAAATTCCCAGCATTTAGTGGAACCCGAAGATTCATTACCGATTTCAAAAGAGCCTTCAACTGGTCCCTTTCCTCAGGCAGATAAATCCAGCCCATACCACCTCATTATATCTGCCTAAGATCCATTTTAATATTATTCACCCGCCTACGTCTTGGTCTTCATAGTTGTCTCTTTCCTTCTGACTTTCCTACCAACATCCTATATGCATTCCTCTTCGCCCTAATTCGTGCTATATGCATAGTACAGGAATTACTAACACAAACACGATTATTTGAAATTAATACTCGGTCGTATATTGGCAGAGCAAAACTTTGAGCACAGGGTTGAATATATCTTTTCAACCTTATCTGTGATCCACATAATTGAACTTTAAATGAGGCGTAGATTTTCCGAACGCAACAGAATAGCAAAGACAGACTTCACCTCTCATGTGATCTTCAGTATGTTAAATAAACATGGGATAGGCAACAGATTACTGGGAACACATATTTCGTCTGTAAACATTAGACCTATTAGTGACACGAAATATCACAACCTTCGGAGTGATTGCAGGAGTAGATAAGAAGTGTAGTGATAATTCTTTGTATTTTCTGCGCACAACGTGTGAAGCCATCTTCAATTCCAGCAGCACCAGGAAGTACTGGACGCCATGATAGCAGCACACGTGCTTTGGTTTCTGGTATTCAGCGCTGTTTCTTCTGTAGGTATGTAGCTGTATTTCCTCAGATTCCTGCTGACAGCGCTGCAAATATTGATGCAATTTCAGCTATGTCTAAATATTTCTAACGAAGCTCTGCTACATTAAACATGACAATAAGGAGAGATATGTCTTCTAGGAAATGGCGCCGTGCAGTCCGATGAAAGTCGATTTACGTATCAGAATTAAATTTCTACTCATCTTTCAGGGTCGAAGGGTAAGATCTGTTTGTTTTTGCTTGGTCAAGTTTTCGACCTTAAAATGGAAGGGATATATTCGTCCGAAACTTCGGACTACACTGCGTGTTATCCCCGAAGATAGAACGCTTCATAGTTACGGCTGTTATAATCTCTAGAACAACATAGCGACTATTTTGTACAGCGTGCAAACACAACATGTCGGACACTGGATCTGTTTCCCTCGTGATGTGACTGAGTTCATTCCACATATGCGTAGTTATGCGAGATTGTACACCGTTTAACACTCGGTTGTTGATGTGTACAATCTCTTTCATGCCTGCAATTCATCTAACTTTTTTCATTATCTATAATTTAGTATTTTTCCTTATTTCATTTTCCCTTACATCCACTTAAATATGTACCAAATTCTTTATCTGTACTCCTTGCAATCTATATACTAATTCCTCGGCGGGATAGCGTAGTCGATAGAGCGACTGGCTACTGGCTACGGCCGAGGGGTCGGAGTGCGAGTCCCGGTGAGGTAAAGAATTTTCTATTCTTCATGTCTTCCAGACAGGCTCTGTGGTCCACTCAACCTCATATCCAATGGGTACCGGGGGCTATTTTTCTGGCGGTAAATCGGCCGGGGCGTGAAGGTAACCACTCACCTTCAGCTAGTGTCGAGTTCAACAATATGTTGATCTATACATCCACTCCCCCATACGCCTTCATTGCGTCGTGCTTACTTAGTTAAGCACAAAAACAACTTTACCGTTTTTACCTTATAACAATTCCTCATTTATGTTAAGCCACTCCTTTGACAATAGACAACTCAGCAGCATGTTATTATATTGTAGCATCCTATTACACTTTTCACTTAGTCGATTAATTTACTACGGCTTCACTTGCAACACTAATGTTGTATAACATTTATTATACGGAAGACAACAGTTGTCTCGCTCAAAAATGTTAACACATGATGATGATGACCACATTGCTTGAATCATGAAGTAATAAACTTTAAAGTGAATAACTTTCAATAAATTTTATAGAATATAGTATTGCACGTGATACTGTAAAAAAATTAATCGACACTCACCAGAATGTGTTTAACTTCCTCTTTTCCTAAACGTAAATGGCAGTTTCCTCTCCTTGTTAGCCGCCCCAGTCTCCAAATTCCTGTTTCCATCCACGCTACACCATTTCTTTCATTTCTAATACATCATTCGGTGTGCTGTTCTTTACCCCAGGTCTGTTGGTGTGCTTAATTTCTTAGTGGAAAGCTTGTGAAATTCTCTCCCATTTTCGAGAATAAATTTTGGTTCTTCATCATGATGTATAAGAGAGGAAATATTCCTATTCAGCTGGACCCATTAGAAATATCTGGAACAATGAAGTAGCCCTTTCTAATGGAGCCAATTGAGCAGGAATATTTCCTCCATTCACACGCGGTAACGGAAATGGAGGGTTCCGAAGCTTCATCCTGGTGATATCAGAATGTCATCATCTTTATTACAGAAGGAAATGACACATCACGAAATGCGGTCGCTCCATCCAGCATCACTACTGAGAGGTCCATAGGTAAGGAAATTAAATATTTATTTATGCATTCATCTGTGGTTTGTTTAACGATGATTTCGAAAGCTTGATTTATATAGAGTCGAATGACACAATAATAAATTTTTAATAAAGTGCAAAGAAGCGGTCATGGCTTCATTTGAGGCACTATCCCGGGATTTTTACTAATGGGACTGAAGTTTCCACAAGAAACCTCGGTCTTGATTGTCTGTCTCCGGACGGAGGACCGAACCCGAAGGTAAGGAATTTAATATTTTTAGAATAGACGTTGCTGCTGCTAATCGGTAGCTTCATAACTACGAGAGAAAACTTGTGTTCGGTAAGGAAACGATGGCCCTGTAACAGGCCGTGCAGGCCCATGGGGATGTGAGACGTCGAAGCCTCCACATTTTCTAGACAATTGACTCACAGGTGGCGGTGAAATCAGCCTCATGTACCGGTCGCACTTTACCCCCAGGAAGTTTCCTGGTACTTATTTCTGTCAGAGGTTGAGTCGACCCTTGGGCCATAGTGCGGCCGGAAGGATTAGGCCATTTGAAACATCTAATGACTTCATTGGCAATCGAACCCGCAACCTTCCGGTTTGTAGCATAGTGCCTCAGCCAACTTCGCTAACTTGTGTAAGGTATCTGTGTAAGACAATAACTTATTTGTTACCTTAACTCGCATTGGGCACTGCTCAGATAAAAAAAGTGCTACGAAGGAATATAACTTCATTTACAAGCGTGTATGATAATGTATATTTGCATATATCAGACGGCCCCGAGCAAGAAAAATACTGCAGTCTGCTTTTACCGGTTCTCACGGTCTCTCCGCTTGCAGATTTCTTATATTTTTCTTCTACCCTGAAGATGGAGGCCATACGTTCCTCCGAAACGTCGGTTAACACCACATATACACGGTGCCAAATCCCAGAAGACTGCTTTCTTCATAGTCACCGCCGTGAAAGCCTCAAATCTTACGTACATTACTTACTTACTTACTTATGGAGCTGAGCCCTTCTTGAGAAGAAGCCAAATATGCAGCTATTCAAGTATTTCCCAGCATTTTATGGAACCCGAAGGTTCAATACCGTGTTCACAAGAGCCCTTCACTGGTCCCTATCCTGAGCCAGGTCAATCCAATCCACACCATCCCATCCTATCTCTCTAAGATCCATTTTAATATTGTTCACCCACCCACGCCCTGGTCTTCCCAGTGGTCTCTTTCCTTCTGACTTTCTCACCACTATCCTACATGCATTCTTCTCCCCCATTCGTGCTACATGCCCTACCAACCTCATCCTCCTTGACTTAATCATTCTAATTATACTTGGAGAAGAGTACAAGTTATGAAGTTCCTCATTATGCAGTTTTCTCCAACTTCCTATCACTTCATCTCTCTTCTGTCCAAATATTCTCCTCAACACCCTGTTCTCAAACACCCTCAGTCTATGTTCCTCCCTTAATGTCAGAGACCAAGTTTCACACCCACACAGAACCACAGGCAAAATTATAGTTTTGTATATTCTAATTTTTATGATTTTGGACAACAGACAAGAGGACAAAAGGTTCTTGACTGAATGGTAGCAATTATTACCTGAATTCAATCGCCTCTTAATTTCCTCCTGAATCGAATTTTGATCTGTTACTACCGTTCCCAAATATCTTAACTCTTTCACATTTTCAAAACATCTCTTAGCTACCTATATATTATGATTCTGTCCTGCATTTTGGTGACGAGACAGCAACATATACTTAGTTTTCTCTTTGTTTACTTCTAGACAAACCTTCTAACTTGCGTCAATTAAAGTTTGTGTGTTTTTATTTACAAAACGTACATTGCGCATCGATAATACAGAGTGTTCTTTTATCACCTAACACTTCAAAATACGGATGTATGTACATGTAACTTCTTTGATCTTGAAGGCAATTGTATGAAACTTTCACAGAACCTTCTTCGGACTTGGGAAATCCATTTGCATTGGCAATGCTGACCTGAGTTACATGATGGTGGTTCTTGTGTTCCTGTGCAGAGACAACACGGTCAAGAGTTTTCTGTTCGTGTTGCACCACTGAGAGACACTAACTACGGCACTGTTAAACCATACGAAGACACAAGAAGTGTGTGTAATAAATGTTAAAAAGGACAGAGACGCAGAGCATCTGATCGTAAGGAAGAACAAAGTAAGGCATTAAAAACAAGCCCGACCAAATTGTAAGGCCTTTAGAACAATAGATTGGGGTCTCAACCGGCAGTGCCCGGGAAACTGTCGTCATGACTTGTCGTTGTTCTCATACAAAATGCAGCCGAATTATTCATTGTCAGAAGATGGACTAGAGAGATTTTGCGCTTGCGCAAGGGGGTACAAAGCGCTGCTGGCGAGCAACCCTGGTGTCTTCCAAGTCAAATGATTCTCCGCTGAAATACACTCCCACTCTTATGATTAACGAACAAAATGTCCTCGCAATCACAGATTGAAACCATTTCTACTTAAGCTCTGAACAAGGTCCTGAAAATTTGCGTTTTCGTTTCGGTGCAAATCGTGTTCTTCGGGAACATCACGTGGAACACGTTTTAGCAAAATAATCACATTTTCCAAGTGTATATACCGATCTGTGACTGCTTCAGGTACACTTGTTTTAAATAACGTACTAAAACTTTACCGAATACAATGGTTTCAGTTCAGATACCTGTGTTACTTTGATTTCTTCAAGAAATTAATTTCTCACAGTTCACACTTGCATTTCATTCTGTGGTTTACATTGCAAGCTGTCAGCATCCCAGCCTACAGAGTGTCGAGTGGCGGGACTGTTAGTGAATAATGAATTGGCAAAGATCTGGGAGGACACTTTGTGCCTAATAATTGGAATCCAGCAATTGCCCAGGAGGAACTTACGAATACCACGAAATATCTCAGTCATGGCAACCCGCGTCCGGGTCAAGATTTGAACAGGTGACATTCCCAGTACAAGTCTACAGATTAGTGGGTCTTTGGACTTTGTCCAAAATCTGGACCAGTCCAGAGATTGAATTTAAGTATTTCTAGTGCAACTAAGTGTGTAGGTGTCTTCCACCCTTTATCTGTGGACGGAAAGAGTTCCAGTTTCCAAAAACTTGTGTTCTTCAGAATACCGGACGAAGAATGAAGTCCAAGAACCCAGTAATTCCGAGCCTCATACGCAGTCGTCAGAAACCCTTAGAATCTACAAATAAGCCCGGAGCTCTGCTACTGTGCCAATTATTTCTGTCGAAATCAGGTTTCATACTGAGATGTATAGACTTATTACTAGACAACGAATCGGTAAATACATTACGGCGGAAGCAAAGGCGCACAACAATAGGACAAGCATAAAACAATACAGGACAATAGAAAAAGGTGTTTTCCGTGGGGTCCACTCAGAGGTTATATAATGGGAAGTTCCAAAGAAGCAGTTAGTTGCTGTCAGAAGTTGAGAGAGTTCAGTTGAAAAAGAGTTAGTTTGAGTTAGTTGTTGGGGTCGAGTTCTGGAGATGGCAGTCTAAGGTGATTGACAAGAAATATCAAAGAAGGAATTAGATGTTGGAAAAAAGACCTCATATGTGTTTTGAAGTGACAGTGATACTGTTACGAATCCGTTGCCAGGATACGGCAAGTGAGGACTGAGGACACTAGTTCGTGTGTAACGGTGAGTAGTAAATGCTGTAGATTATCGATAAAGCTATATTGCCTGTAGTTCCGAGTGGTGTGTATAAATCCAATTATTCAATCCAGAACCCGTCTTATAAGTCATGCGCAACCCCTCCCCCAGACACGTGATAATACGAATGCTCTCTGCTTATGGTTTTAGTCAGTCGAAACTTTTGGTCATCTGTCAACAAGGACACACTAAAACGAATGATTTCAGGATGCACAATCAACATCAGTAGGGACCTGAAGAAGAACAGCCGACTTATCCTGCATCCTGACAGCAGCTCAACAGACGGGTACAGGTTCGTCCTGCCGACAGCTGGGCACAGCCTGCTAACTTTCCAGCACGGGCAGGAGGTCGTGTTCGCTTGTCCAAACGGAGTGTACGAGAGAGCAAAATGTAACACGGGTAAGAGAAACCTTCATTTGCTTGCAACGTATTTAGTCCCATGACTTCAGAAAGAAATATTGACACGTATTTGGGATTAGCGTGACTAATAATAATGGGTTCTGGATTCGATGATTAGGTTTATTATAATTTCTTTACAATTACAATCAATTATTACAGCTCACACATTAAACTCCTTCTTAATGCCGTATGAAAGACGTCTTATGAAGAATCTCTCACTAATCTCTGACTAATCTCGGAAAGACCTCTACTACTGGATCTCTATTACTGATCGCAGTTACTTTACTACTGGCGGTTTACCACCGATCATTTCATCATTATAACCATTAATTTTAGTTTTCAAATAAACACTTACGGTTATAGATCTCATGTAAGATCCTCTCTGACGAGAGGATGGATCTGTCGTTTACAATTGTTGCTGGTCCTCGCCAGCGTAGTTACTCTCAGAGTCAGAGTCAGAGTTACTTTACGACTGGCGGTTTACCGCTGATCAATTAGTTTTGGCTGCAAGCCCCTTGACACTCATGACCAGTAATTTTGTTTCCCAACTGAACACTTCCGGTTATAGTCTAATTGCTGTTGTTCCTCGCCAAAGCAGTCATTCTCAGGTCCGAGTCCCGCGGGACTCATGACCACATTTTACTGTCTCAGATTCGAGACTCCCCAAAACTGATGGGCCAGGTCCCCCGTACGTTTATCCTCCAGGCACTGGGTTCCTTTTCCATCGTCTTTTACGACTCTCAGAACTACGGTCCGAGAGCTCCTCGTTATATAGCCTCGGGGCGGTCCCAAAGAAAGCACCGTTCATTTAGTTATACTGTTTCCATGGTAACGAATTTGCGACGGCCAGCAACGGATTGTTTACCAAGAATCTGCTGCCCTAATAACGGCGCTGTCACGCTGTTTGGTCTCCGCTGGAACGTGTGTACCAAGCCGTTGCTGAGAAACGGTCGCTGTTTTACTCCTTAGCAAGGAGCCTAAAGGCCACGATATATTTCAGTATAATCGCAGTAGAATAACTTCTCCCACGATAAATAATAATAAACATTGTGATGATAAAGCAAACTGTTAACATTCTGTATCATTTTCACAGGTGACAATTTCGCATTCTTATCTTCAGAAAGAAATGTCAGTGTCTCACAAATAACGTGCAGACGTCCTCTGAGGGCAACGGTGAGGAACTCTGGAAGATGTTACAACAACGAATACAATCACGTGGGTGTCGGACTAACAGTCCGGCAAGATCAGTCAACTAGAGAGTTTATCAAGCTCTTCGACATCTGCTTCGATCCTCAGCTTCGATCTAGCGCGTATGCCAAGTTCACCCTCATGCAGGGGGTTGAGAACGGCCAAAAGAACGTCAAGCGATCCTACTTCAAATGTACTCAAAAATTAGACGAGATATATGGTAGGGGGAACCAGCACACTGCGTTGGTTAATCTCACGGGCTCAGGGGATGAAGCCGACAAATACATTAACCGAAACACAAGCAGTGATTTATATCTCACTAAAGGCCACCTTATTGCTTTTAAAGATTTTGTATATAACTCACAACAGGAAGTGACATTACTTTGCCTCAATAGTGTACCAATATGGCAAGTGGTTAGGAGAGGTAACTGGAGGAATGTGGAGAGTAGCATACGCCAGTATGCGAGCAGGCACGGTAAGGATCTGACAGTGTATGCAGGTACATATGGTATCCTACACTTACCTCATGTTAACGGAACCAGTGTTCCAGTTTATTTAGGTACTGATACAAATGGCAGAAATGTTTTGCCAGTACCACAACTGTTCTGGAAGATCGTGTACGACCGTCTCATGAGACATGGTATAGCGTTTTTGGTTATTAATAACTATCGAGAAGATACATATCCAAAAGAGCATGAGGTATGTACTGATGTTTGTAACAGAACTGAATCCTGGTTCAATGGATGGGACAGGCAGCAAATTAGCCTGGGATATGTGTACTGTTGCACTGTTACGGAGTTCCTTGTGAAAACCAATGCAATACCAGAATTCAGGGAAGTTGTAATAGATCTTCTTATTTAATTTTTAATAAGGGAATGGAATTCATGGAAAAAGATTAGTTACCATCAGAAAGAATTTCCTGTAGGCCATACTTAGGAAAGTGACCTAAGCAGTAATTCAAGGGGGATACGGGGTCCTAACCCCGGCCGGAACACTGACTTTCCTCATCGGAGTTTTCATGGTTTCACACAGTACCGCAAGGCAAATGCCAGAATATGCCTCAAAGTAGGACCGCGAACATTTCCTTCCACACCCTTTCCAATTCATTATTCACTACCATCTTATTGAATAACTCACACGAAATAACCCAACCGAAAACGAATACATCGCGTACAGACAATTCCAGATTCCCCCTAAGAGTAGTCGATATAGCGACTGGCTACGGGCTGGACGACCGAGGGTTCGGAGTTCTAGTCGCTGTAAGGTCAAGAATTTTCCCTTCTCACAGTGTCCAAGCCGGCTCTGGGGCCCACCCAACCTCCTATCACGTTAGTATCGGGAGCTCTTTCACCGGGGGTAAAGCGGCCGGGGCGTGAAGCTGACCACCCACCTCCAGCTAGTGCCGAGGTCAGGAGAATATGAACCTATACATCCACTCCCCAATACACCTTCTTGGTGTAGTGTTTAATTAGTTAAACACAGGGACGAATTTCCCTTTTTTTTTTTACCTTATACTCTATCTTATCAACATCGCCCTTCAAATTTCACTAATGGGAATAAACAGCAAAGGGCATTTAAAGAACCACATAGCAAAAACATGTAAGTTGTGCATGTGTTTAACTAATTAAGCACTGTATCATTAAGACGTATAAGGGAGTGGATGTACAGATCCACGTATTCTTGACCACGGCACTAGTTGGAGGTGAGTGGTAAGCTTCACGCCCCTGCTGCTTTACCCCCGGGAAAGAACATTGGTACCAACTGGACAGGAGGATGCGTGGACTCCAGAGCCGGTCTAGAAAATACGGGGAAGAGAAGAGTCTCTCCCTTGCCGGGACTCGAACAACGACCCCAAACACATAGTACCACAAACGAATTATGAGACAGTGGTACTTAAGTATTGTGAGTGTGGATATGCAGTGAACCCTCTTACAATTCCTCAAACGAACTGAATAAGGCGAATCTGGGCTGTAACTGTATAATAGGAATAATGGCTGTGCTCAATGCTGAACAAAGCAAGTTGCATTGGTTTTACAAAAACATGCATAATATTCAGTATTTATCGTTTGTATGCTGCTACAGGGAGTTGTGCTGACCGAGTATAACAAAATTTGAGCATTCGGCAAACAATTTTTCGCATTCATTCTCATGTACATAATCGAATTCGCATTGGACAGTGGTTTTAATAAAAAGGGAAAACGGGCAGAATCCAATACAGTACTTTTAAACGAGGAATATTTGCCTGGCTAATTTCAAGTACATTAGCGATGACCACAAAAACATAATTAACTCCATTCTAGTCCGTCATACTAGCGAATTAAATATAGAATAATTGTTGACACCGTCTAGTGATTGTAGATATTTATTGCCTTTACATGTTTCGGTCAGCTGACCAGCTTCAGAAGGCATAAGACCAACATATCCAGGAACTACTGTTACAAAGTTCATAATACGTACAAACTCAGAAGATTTTATATAAAAGTTATTTACAATTATTTGGATTAAAATCTTATTAATGTTTAATATCTAAGCCCTTGGACCGATTTTTTTATCCTTGTGCCTCTTCTGTTAAAAATGAAATGTTGGGGTGTTATTCGGTGCCCTCAGTGGCCCTCGCAGTGATAGTCTCCCTTTTTTTGTTTGTTATGGTTCTGCAGTTATATTACGGGTATTATACACTCGTTGTACTTCTGTACCCGAAATTTATTGAGGTTTATCTTATGCGTTCCTATCTGTATCGTTGTGATGTCTGTCTGTTTCCGTTTTACCGTGTTTTGAGGCAATACGTATCTGTAAATTGAACCACACTGGACGTTGTTAACAATTATTATTCTACTATAATTTAAGAAAAACAGAACTAAACAAATGAATCATAAAGAAATAAAGGCAAGGAAAACAAGAAGGAAAATGGAACAGAAAATGAGCATAATTGATAAACATATATGGAGGCTCTTATGTACATAATTTTCTGTTTCAAACTCCTAGTCCAAACGTAAGAAAGGCGGATGCAGTCCCACCTGGTGGAAAGTAGCCACATCCTCAGCCGAAAAATTATCAGAGCTTATTACAGCCTGCCGCAATCTAGATTTCTTTTTTTGGCATTTCTAATTGGCTGTGGTAACCCGCAATTTCCTGTTTATTATTGCCAATAAACAGATTTCCTGCTCGTTATTAAACATACCTTCAGAACTGCAGCTTCTCGTTGCACGTTACCAAGAGTGACACTGTTCATTCGTCGCAAATGTGAAAGCATGACTCCTCTGAAACAATCAGCGCTCCCTTCTGTGCTCTTATTGACAGCATTATCAGCTTACCAGAATTTTCCAGACGTCCAAGCAACAGAATTTGGTAAGGAATTTCTTGATTTTTAAAACTAAGGATCTGTTAATAATGTTTTAACAAGTAATACTATTTCAGACTTCTGTGTTTTCTTGCTTGAAACATATTAAATTAATTAACCTATTTTGTCTGGGGCACGCTGTAGTTCAGGTGCCTGAGACACAATGCTACAAGCCAGAAGGTCGTGAATTCAATTCCCGATGAGATCACTGGGCTTTTCAATTTACCTAATCCTTCCAGCCACACTATGACCCTGAGGTCGACTCAGCCTTTAACAGAAATAATTAACCAAGAATCTTTCTGAGAGTAAAGGGTAGCTGGCGTGTAAACTGGCAACCTCACCGCCATCTGTGAGTCGATTATCTAGAAAATGTGGGAGCCTTCACGTCTCACAACCCCATGGGCCTTTAAGGCCTTGTCAGTTTTATAGTTTGGCTTACATCTGAAAGTGAATCTACTTTCCGAATCAGGCATGATACGTCGTTTCTTGTGTAGGCAACTTTGAGCAGGGGATTCCGTGTGTTGGTCTCAATTTCCCACTGGAGTGCGAATAAAGGAAACGCGTTTAAAATAGAATTTAGTTACTCTCTAATAATGACGTAACGGTCTACATCACTGACTGATGATGGCGCAACTGTTTTTCATAGTAAATGGAGTATAGTATTTTCTACTTATTAAAGAGTACTTTATTAATATTTATAGAGTAGATTGTTACGTTTCTATAACAGAGAACTTTATATGAAAGTAAGTTAGAGGGTAGAAAGTCAAGCAGCTTCTTGTTACTCGATAATTTTAATAAAACTGTTTGCTTTTTCTGTATGGAATATTTATTATATTATTACTAAAATTAAAAGTATTATTTTTTTCCCTGGCACTACAGCCCCAGTGGGCCTAGGCCTACCTCCATGAACTTCAAAAATATTATTACCTACTATTATATATTTATTTTTCATCCTTTGCTGAGCACAGGGGCCACTCACCCTGAGGCGTGTATTGTCCTCTCTCTCTCCTTCGCATTCGAAATCTGGTATCATGGGTCCGAATTCCACTCCGGGCGTGAGTGTATATGATCTCTGTTTGTGTGTAGGTGTGTTTTGTCTTTTTTATATAGAGAACTTGCGACAGACCGATCCTACCAACTACCTATACAAATATCCCAAAATCTGGAAAACCGGAGGCCTTGGACCTCATAGATCTGTAATACCATACAAGAAGATGAATTCTCCGTAATTTTGTTAAGCCTACTTTTATATTACAACAAAATTTGCATACATCTGCTTATCTCTTAAGAGAACAAGTGAAATTTCAAGATGAAAAATGCAATGGAGTAACTTTCAATAAATTATCATTTCGTCATAATTTCTAAAATAATTTCCTCCAGTGCGTCTCTAAATCTTAATGCGATTCCGTAAAGAGTGATCTTCAGTTTTCTTTTCTGATATTGTATTTGTCTTAATATTTTGAATAAGACATATTTTCTGACCGGAGTGAGTGGTGTGTGCTTGTGGCGGAGAGACCCAGTTAGAGAGTGAATGCCTGCTCTAGTCACTCCCAGTGGAGGAGTGACCAGTAGTAATCGGACCGCTTCTCTCGTCGAAGAGGAGGCCCCATTTCAAAACATAAAAGCCTTGGAAACCAAGACTGACTCTACTGGCGAATACCAGTAACATTTTACTCGACCGAGGTAGAGTAGCCGTGGCTCAGCCCAGGCAAGAGGATTTGCCGACAGGTGTCTCGTTGTTCCCTCCGTCTCTCCAAGCAAATGACAGAATATTATTCAGATTTCACCATGAGGCCTTCTTTCTCATCTCTAACCAATGTACCATTCACCATACACCATAGTTAGAAGCTGTACGTGTAAGGTCTAGATACTGACAGCGTCCTAGAAACACACAAACCAAAACAGCTATGATCTGTTTGGGATTAAGAAACTAAATACACGGCTCAACGGAGAAATATTTCTCAAGACATCAGGACGTACTTTGGTGAACTCAAGTATTATAAACATACAACACACACGCAGTCACAGGAGCAAGACACAACACAAAGCACAATACACACGAAAGTAGGAAGAGTGTTCCGATAGAAGAGGATAGGTGTGACTCGCGTATTGAGATGCGACGTAGGGATAACAAATCCTGAACAGTTTTAATATTTTTAATATATAATATTTTTCAATATATATGATGAACATATATTTTAGTTATTTTAGCATGAAGACGGCAAGGCATGAAGTGAAGTAGTTTAACGTAAATCGAAAAGCACCTGAAGATGGCACCTTTGTGCCGAAACATGTAGTGCAGGAGTGAAGAGTGAGGTGGATCAGTGTATGCACTGTAAGACGGCTGGAATAAATCATGGACATTGTAAACATATTTAATCTTCTAAGACATGGCAAATATCTTAATATGAGACATTAGCGGTACTTCTGAAACGTAAGTGCATAGTCACCTTTGATAATATGATAGTAAACTAGTTAGAAGAAGAGTTTAGCCTTCTGGGATATGATGCCGTGTAGTCTGGTGAACATGTGGTTTCCATCTTCAGAGTTTAAGAGTGAGGGCACACCAAGGAAACTGGCAACCGCAACGCAACCACAATTTCCGAGAATTGTTATCAGCCTGAGTTGAATACGTGTTACTGAATGGAGAAGCGAAAATTGAGGAAACGACAAAGCAATTCTCGGAAATTGAGGTAGCGTTGAGGTTTCCAGTTTCCTTGGTTTGCCCTCGCCCTAAGAGTTAACCAATTAAGAAACCAGCATGAAAGAGGTAGCAAACAGAGTCTCATCCTAAGGTTTTCCCTGAACAAGGAGGCATACATTCCTCCGAAAAGTCAATGAACTTCTACCGAACTACAACATACCCCGTCCCAGTAGACAGTGCTCTTCATAACCACCGTTGCAAGAACCTGAATCCTACACAATATTACGACAACTGAGGTAATCATGACTGTGAATGTTAAGAACAAAGTCTTATGGAACCTAACTTAGTGTACTTTGGAATATACGTGTCTTGACAGCGGCATTTTTTCCGCGCCATGCAGAAACGGATATAGAATTTATAAAAATCGTGACATGTTCCCGGGACTTAATGCTTATGTTTCACAACATCTCGGGATGCTAGCGGTTCCATAATTTTGCTGAAGGCCGTGGTCTACGAAAAGTTGATAGTCACTGCCTTCTGAACCCTGTTCCAAGTTAGCATATTCAAGTTGCATGTAAGTTTTCCAGTCACCGCAAATCAGCGGTTTTGCCTTGCCCTTCTACAGCCTCTCATTACCGCATTTACATGGCTTTTCATAACTTCCAAAAAGAAATGCGAAATCTGAGGTCCGCCGACCACATGCAACCCCCGAAATAATGTTGTATTGAATTCATTATTGTTATTTTAAGTGTAAGCCCTATTCTTTTAAAATTGTGTTACAGGTCTCATTATCCGCACTTACTAAACCAGTTGTAGGCCAATAAGTATTTTGCTACTCTTCAATACACAATGCACACAAACTTTACTTGACTCAAGTAAAGAGGTTGGTCTAGAAGTAAACACAGAGAAAACTAAGTATCTGTTACTGTCTCGTCACCAAAATGCAGGGCAAACCCATGACATAAAGATAGGAAACAGATGTTTTGAAAATGTGGCACAGTTCAGATATTTGGGAACGACGGTAACAAATCAAAACCTAATTCAGGAGGAAATTAAGAGGAGACTGAACTCTGGTAATGCTTGCTACCATTCAGTCCAGAAACTTTTGTCTTCTCCGCTGCTGTCCAAAAACATAAGAATCAGAATATACAACACTGTAATTTTGCCTATAGTTCTGTATGGGTGTGAAACTTGGTCTCTGACGTTAAGGGAGGAACATAGACTGAGGGTGTTTGAGAACAGGTTGTTCGGGAGAATATTTGGACCGAAGAGGGATGAAGTGACAGGAGGTTGGAGAAAACTGCATAATAAGGAGCTTCATAACTTGTACTCTTCTCCAAGTATAATTAGAATGATCAAGTCAACAAGGATGAGATGGGAAAGACATGTAGCATGCATAGGAGGGAAGAGGAACACGTATAGGATATTTGTGGGAAAGCCAGAAGGAAAGGAATCACTGGGAAGACCAAGTCGTAGTTGGGTGGACAATATTAAAATGGACTATATATATGAGACAAACTCCGTCTTAAGTGCAACAGTTTAATTGTAGTTCTTTCTTCTTCCCTTCCTCCACACTACATGTTTCGGCCCTAAATGGCCATCATCAGGTGTGTATTCTTACGTAGCTGCTACACTGCCCGTAGTTTAAAATTTAAGATCACCAGTCTTTCCAATTGTATGTATGTATAAAATCTTAGTTAACCTACAAGCGTCAATTTGATTTCTAAAATTGACACTTTTTTAAAACTTCAATTCAAATTAAAATGTCTATAAATTTTCTGTTCTTTTTCTTTTTCCAAATTTTTAAAAATTAAAATTATCTTATCTTTAATACGTGTGCACACGTATTAAAGATAAGCAGCGACACACACAGAGAGAGCCTACACAGAACAATACCTGAACAGCGATAAAACAAGAAGTGGCCGCTGCAGAAATATAGACAAAGGGCGTGTACCCCGAGAAAATTTTATTTTTTAAAAATTTGGAAAAATAAAAAGAACAGAAAATTTATAGATTTTTTAATTTGTATTGAAGTTTTAAAAAAGTGCCAATTTTAGAAATCAAATTGACGCGTGTAGGTTAACAAAGATTTTATACATACACACAATTGGAAAACTGGTGATCTTAAATTTTAAACTACGGGCAGTGTAGCAGCTACGTAAGAATACACACCTGATGATGGCCATTTAGGGCCGAAACATGTAGTGTGGAGGAAGGGAAGAAGAAAGAACTACAATTAAATTGTTGCACTTAAGACGGAGTTTGTCTCATATATATTGTGTGAGTGTAACAGGATGCTTAAATATAATATTAAAATGGACCTTAGAGTGATAGGATGGGATTGTATGGATTTCATTGATCTGGCTCAGGATAGGGACCAGTGGAGGGCTCTTGTAAACATGGTAATAATCCTTCGGGTTCCATAAAATGCTGGGAAATTCTTGAGTAGCTGCACAATTGGCGACTTCTCAAGAAGGGATCAGCTCCATATGCGGGTGAATACCTAATATTAAGAATTTCATTTTTAGTGATTTATTCTCTATAAAATATAATCTAATTTATCTTAATTGTGTAAGGACTGGAATAATGGGAAACAGCCATGTGCTCAGTCCAGTTATATGAAAATGCACAGTGATTTCGAGGCCAGCCGCTCATGTTACCCACCATGAAGGATACGTACAGTTCACTGTGGCAATGTTGCAGGTTGCAGTGTCCCCATCTCCAGCATAAGTGTGGACACTCCGCTGATCCTCCAACACCGATACCGCAATGGGATGGCGCCCTTCCACATGCCAAGTAACCCGGGATCTGATTCCCTGACCTTTGGTAGTGGAGATGCCGTCAGGTTCGCTTGTCCTGACGCAAACAAGAACCTGCTGCTGATCCCCAACTCCCCGCTCACGGTCTATGAAGTCATAGCCTTCTGCATTAAAGGTGGGTTCTACGAGTGCCTTGGTGGAATCTGTTCATGCTTCTTCCCGTTCTTAACTAATTGAGCACTACTCCATGAAGACATAAGGGAGAGTTGATATATAAATGCATGCTTTCTTGATCTCAGCACTAGTTGGAAGTGACTGGGCAGCTTAACGCTCAAACCGATTTACACCAGGGAAAAGAGCCCAAATTATCCATCGGGTAGGAGGACGAATAGAGAGAATAGAGAGGAGAAAAGTCTTGCTCCTACTGGGACTCGAACTCCGACTCCTCGGGTCGTCAGGCCCGTAGCCAGTCGCTATCACGACTGAGGTATCCCGGCTCACATGTTCAGTAGGGTATCAAATCGTTAAGACTCATTAAGTCAAGCGCGCTGGGATGGACGGGTTTGTGGCACGCATAGGAGCAATAACAGGCACATATGGAATTTCAGTCAGAGAGCCTGAAGGGAAGCCTATAACAAAGAGGCATGAGGTATGGATTAGATTTATGTAGATGTAGATAATGTAGAGAGAAGTGGCGATTTCTGGTGAAGGGCTTAAGAAGCTGACGAATCTCTGGCTGGATACAAGATGGCGACTTTCTTGAACGGGCGAGAGACTCTTAGCTTCTCGAGAAGGACTACGTTCTACGGAATTAGTTAATTGACAGCTATGACGGTGATGATGATAATAATAATAATAATAATCATTGGGCCAAAGCCTTTTTTGAGCCAATGCCTTCCTTGGAAAACTGCCAGATGGGCAGTGAAATAGGCTACCCAGCTTGCATTTCTTTCGATTTCGCAACAATAAAGTTTAAAAAATTAGGTCGTCAGCCTTGCGTCCAACCCCCAACCTGGAGGGTCAGGTCTTTGTACATACGTCCCGCAGTGATAGGGTTGCCAAGTTAGACCCCTTGGCACCGGGATCACTTTACATCGCCTTCTACACCTCACAGGGCTACAGTGGAGGTACTCTAACCCTTCCTCCACGCGAATTAATAATAATATGCATAATAATGATTATAGGAAATTCATACGTTTTTGCAGGTTTCCCACAGTTACTATAAGTTCACTTCAGTTGAGCATTGGCCACAAACAATGTAAAACAGTAAGGACTTATCTAATCACAATACATTTGATAGTTCTTGGTTCGACTAAATAATAGAAATTATCGTAATTTTCCTCAGTTCCTCGCCATTTAGTTCCTTCTTTATCTCCTCCACGGCCTACAGTCCTCGCTTCATTGAGTCACAAAATAAAGATAACCGTTAAATCCCTCTTAAATTCTCGACACTCGCCGATGCCATAAGTAGTCACCCAGGTACATGTCTTAAAGTAAGAGTTAAGTTTATTCCGCGAATCAAAAGAGATTTTTGAGTCTAGTTAGTAACCAGTACTTTCACAAAAGCTATCTTCTCTGTAATGATCTCAGAAGCTGCTTTTAGTATGAGACCAACACGAAATTATATAACTTTTTTTCTTCCTTGGCACTACAGCCCCAGTGGGCCTAGGCCTACCTCCATGAACTCCGTTCACTTCGGTTTTTCTAGATCTAACACATACGGTAGGACTCCTTGGGCGGGTGATCAGCTCGTCGCAAGGCCTCTACCTGTAGACAAACACAGAAAAACGCACACAAATATCTATGCCCTGAGTGGGATTCGAACCCACGATCCCGGCTTCCGTGCGAGCGAAGACAGTTCATGCCTTAGACAGCTCGGCTACCGTGACCGGCGAAATTAGATAACTGGGGACGCCAAATTTGTATTCTGGAAATTTTACAGATAACCTCAAGAAACTACGAGGCCATAATAACCAGTATAAAAACTGAATCTTTTTACAGGTTCCATCTTCAGTATCAGTGGAACTTCCCACGACTTTAGCAGCATCAGGTGCAAGAAACCGCCGCAACCAACAATTAAACAAGAAAAGCGATGTGCTGTAGGAAATGGGACCCAATATAATATCGGATTCAATCTCAAACGAAAGTTCCTGGGACTTATCGAGATTTGCTATGACATTGCAAAGCACAGCACTATAAGCACTAGGTATATTTTAAGTAAAAGTGTTGGCAATCATGATGTTAATGATTATACAAACATCAGTTTCTCCAGCTCCAACTTCGGCAGCGGTAACACAGGATCACCTGAGGACTTATACACCTGCAAGAATCAAATCAGAACACTAGGACATATATTAGGATCAATTACTCAGGCTAACAAATATATTAATTGTGACTACAGAAGCAATAAGTATCTAGATAGATGCCATCTTGCGCCATATGAAGACTTTTTATTCGGATACCAAAAGAAAGCGGCTTCCTTTTATATCAACACAGCACCTCAGTGGAAAGCGATTAATATCGGAAATTGGGATATTTTAGAGAGAAGAATAAGAAGATACGCAAGCAAGCAGAAGGCCGATCTGACTATCGTAAGTGGGACGATTAATGTAACAACACTCCCAGATATATTCGGCACCGAAAGGTATGTTTATCTTCCTGAGGACCCTAGGAGCAGTTCCGTGGTACCAGTGCCCGCTTTGTTCTGGAAACTGGTTCACGACAAGGCTAGAAATGCTGGTATAGTGTTTGTAGTTGTCAGTAATCCGTACCATCATGACTTGCTTACACGTGGATATGTTGCTTGTACCGATGTATGCAGCAGCACACCATCCTGGTTTGGTGGCTGGAACAGGTTGGATGTTAGCTCTGGTTACGTGTACTGTTGTACTGTGAATGAATTTGGAACCAAGTCTGGCATTAAACCTTTCCCCTTCAGGGCCAAGCATGTCCTTGGTTAATACAACAAACAGGGTCAGGTTCTCCTTAATAGCTTCCTTTCTTTCATTAATAATACAAAGAAATCAAGGGCACACAGTGGCGTATATGATTGAGGAACTTTACTACAAGCCGGAAGGTCACGGATTAGAGTCTCGACGAGGTCATAAGACTTCTTTCTGTTTACCTAATACTTCCAGCCGCACTATGGCCCTGGGATCGGTTCAGCCTCTAACAGAAATGAGTACCAGGAATCTTCCTGGGGGTAAAGGACGGCCTGTGCGTAACGCTAACATCCTCACCGCCATCTGTGAATAGACTGTCTAGGAAATGTAGGAGCCTCGTCGTCTCACAAACCTATGACGAACTGTAACAGGGACAGTTCTACCTTTTTATCTTCTTTTTATTTCTAGTGGGGTGGGACTAAGTCCCTTGTACTGCGGCCACTTCTGGCCTACTGTACCTGTCTCAGATGATAGGTGAGGGTGATTGTGGAGCAATTGGTGGAATGAAGATTGGCAAGGGAAACCGAAGTACTCGGAGGAAACCTGCCCCAGGGCCATTTTGTCCACCACAAATCCCACTTGACCAGAACCGGGATCGAACCCGCGCCGCCGCGGTGGGAGCCAGGGACTAAACGCTTGAGCTATGGTGCGGCCACCTTTTTATCTTACAAATGAATGAAATGGTGTAACTGGTCTAGTGCGTGACTCTTTGAAAGGCCAGAGTTCGAAACTCTGACTTCGTTACATCATTGTACGATTAGCGGTATGCATGTCTACTTCTGGAAACATATTGGAACTTGTTCGGCATATGTGGGAGGTTTGAGTAAGGGGGTGAATTTCGAAGAGTTAACACAAAAAGACACACGCCAAAACCCCTCCTTCTGCCCAGTCAAGATACAATACTCTACTGCAATATTGGCTGGGACCTTATTGGCAAGGCCACTGCCGAGGTTAATATACCGAACCCTCTTGAATGAGAGTTCCAGCGATTTTATGAACTTCACATTCAAAAACGTAAAGCTGTGACAGGCCGTGGAGGCCCATAGAGTTATGGACGTCGAGGCTCCCACATTTTCAAGACAATAGGCTCACAGACGTCGGTGAGGTTGTCAGTCTTACCCGCCGGCCGCCTTTTACCCCCAGGAAGATTCCTGGTACTCATTTCTGTTAGAGGTTGGGTCGACCCAGGGCCATAGTGCGGCTGGAAAGATTAGGTAACTGAAAAACCAATGACTTAATCAGGAGTCGAACCCGCGACTTTCTGGCTTGTAGCACAGTGCCTCAACCAACTACATTACCGTGTGCCCATTCACAGTTATAAGCACCAAATCAGTGTGTCCGCTCCCAAAGACAAATGGAAGCCTGCTACAAGATCTGATTCAAGCTACCTTCAGATTATGTATTTTCAATATTAAGCACTTTCCGTGCATAATTGCACATACAGTTTAATAGAGTTCATTGTGTTTACGTTAAATACATGCACAATAGTGAGTGCTGCTTACATCTTACAGTAAAGAGAAAAGGGGAAATGCTTTGACTAAACCCTCCTATCATTTCATCCTGCGTTAGCCTATATCCACGCATATATTTCCCACATCCGTGAACCACCCCTCCACCGCTATAAGCTACGTAATCTTCTTCCAAAGTCCCGTCCGACCCTGAACCCAAGAACTCGTGCAAGGATACCGCTCAGTGAAGAGAACATCTACAGTTAACCAAGCACTGAAATGCAACCAGTCCACTGGCGCCCATCCAAATCTAGAAAAGCATACAAACAAGCCTAAGCAGGAAACGAGAACGTTGCAACGGGGCGCAACGTGCAGAGGGTTTTACTGTTCTGCTAATGTTCCGTCACCACAGAATATGTATAGTTACACCATACGTCATATTTCGGCCATTATCAGGTACACACAACCTCAATACCGTTATACTGTTCTATTAATGTTCCGTCACCACAGAGTGTATATAGTTACACCATACGTCATATTTCGGCCATTATCAGGTACACACAACCTCAATACCGTTATACTGTTCTATTAATGTTCCGTCACCACAGAGTGTATATAGTTACACCATACGTCATATTTCGGCCATTATCAGGTACACACAACCTCAATACCGTTATACTGTTCTATTAATGTTCCGTCACCACAGAGTGTATATAGTTACACCATACGTCATATTTCGGCCATTATCAGGTACACACAACCTCAATACCGTTATACTGTTCTATTAATGTTCCGTCACCACAGAGTGTATATAGTTACACCATACGTCATATTTCGGCCATTATCAGGTACACACAACCTCAATACCGTTATACTGTTCTATTAATGTTCCGTCACCACAGAGTGTATATAGTTACACCATACGTCATATTTCGGCCATTATCAGGTACACACAACCTCAATACCGTTATACTGTTCTATTAATGTTCCGTCACCACAGAGTGTATATAGTTACACCATACGTCATATTTCGGCCATTATCAGGTACACACAACCTCAATACCGTTATACTGTTCTATTAATGTTCCGTCACCACAGAGTGTATATAGTTACACCATACGTCATATTTCGGCCATTATCAGGTACACACAACCTCAATACCGTTATACTGTTCTATTAATGTTCCGTCACCACAGAGTGTATATAGTTACACCATACGTCATATTTCGGCCATTATCAGGTACACACAACCTCAATACCGTTATACTGTTCTATTAATGTTCCGTCACCACAGAGTGTATATAGTTACACCATACGTCATATTTCGGCCATTATCAGGTACACACAACCTCAATACCGTTATACTGTTCTATTAATGTTCCGTCACCACAGAGTGTATATAGTTACACCATACGTCATATTTCGGCCATTATCAGGTACACACAACCTCAATACCGTTATACTGTTCTATTAATGTTCCGTCACCACAGAGTGTATATAGTTACACCATACGTCATATTTCGGCCATTATCAGGTACACACAACCTCAATACCGTTATACTGTTCTATTAATGTTCCGTCACCACAGAGTGTATATAGTTACACCATACGTCATATTTCGGCCATTATCAGGTACACACAACCTCAATACCGTTATACTGTTCTATTAATGTTCCGTCACCACAGAGTGTATATAGTTACACCATACGTCATATTTCGGCCATTATCAGGTACACACAACCTCAATACCGTTATACTGTTCTATTAATGTTCCGTCACCACAGAGTGTATATAGTTACACCATACGTCATATTTCGGCCATTATCAGGTACACACAACCTCAATACCGTTATACTGTTCTATTAATGTTCCGTCACCACAGAGTGTATATAGTTACACCATACGTCATATTTCGGCCATTATCAGGTACACACAACCTCAATACCGTTATACTGTTCTATTAATGTTCCGTCACCACAGAGTGTATATAGTTACACCATACGTCATATTTCGGCCATTATCAGGTACACACAACCTCAATACCGTTATACTGTTCTATTAATGTTCCGTCACCACAGAGTGTATATAGTTACACCATACGTCATATTTCGGCCATTATCAGGTACACACAACCTCAATACCGTTATACTGTTCTATTAATGTTCCGTCACCACAGAGTGTATATAGTTACACCATACGTCATATTTCGGCCATTATCAGGTACACACAACCTCAATACCGTTATACTGTTCTATTAATGTTCCGTCACCACAGAGTGTATATAGTTACACCATACGTCATATTTCGGCCATTATCAGGTACACACAACCTCAATACCGTTATACTGTTCTATTAATGTTCCGTCACCACAGAGTGTATATAGTTACACCATACGTCATATTTCGGCCATTATCAGGTACACACAACCTCAATACCGTTATACTGTTCTATTAATGTTCCGTCACCACAGAGTGTATATAGTTACACCATACGTCATATTTCGGCCATTATCAGGTACACACAACCTCAATACCGTTATACTGTTCTATTAATGTTCCGTCACCACAGAGTGTATATAGTTACACCATACGTCATATTTCGGCCATTATCAGGTACACACAACCTCAATACCGGTTATGCTGTGCTATTAATATTCCGTCATCACAAAGTGTGTATAGTTGCACCATACGTCATATTTCCGCCATAATCAGGTACACACAACTTTTTTTATATTCACCTTCTTTTTCGGTCCTCTACTTTCGCTGCGTTGGACAATGCCTACAGAATGGTAGCGTTTATTTTCAGTCTTAAAGTTTTATGTAATGCCTCTTTTGTGTAAGGTGAATTGTATATTATGTTATTAAAAGTGAAGTTAAAATATTCATGTATTAAATATGAAAGCATAACATTACAAAGTATTAAAACATTAATACTTTTATTACGATGATGTGTCTTGTATCTCGATTGTGTCAGATTCAAAGTCTGTGCTCTGTGTCCTTGTGGAACTGTTCTCCGTGCAGTCCGGCTCTGTTGGTCTAGCTGTGCATTCCACTGATCTGATCTGTTCGATGTTTATCTACGTGTCCTACGTTCCTTTCTCTTCTGATTTTGTCTCATTATGGGGGATGTGACGAACAAGTCAAACACATCAGTGACATACATTGTAATATGGTTCATGTCGTACACCGTACAGTTAAAAATTGTGAGAGGACGCCTGAAAGCCGGAAGAGCGGAGCCAGAATAGACGTTCATTTCTAGGTATGGACTCTATAAAATTTTCCGCGGCAACGAACATGTAAGCAACAATCGAAGTAGTATTGGGTTATAACGATGGAGACAGTGTTTTCTGCTGTGTCCGCCCCGAGGTTATATAGCGAGGACCTCAGGTGAGCTCTTGAGAGAGTCTCTTGAAGTGGCAGTTGAATGACTAAGAAGGGACGGCAAGAAACGAATTAGACTGTACAAACAAGACTTCATGTGTGCTGCAGTTACAGTGAGACTTGTACAGTTACTGTGACGAAATCAGTTGCCAGGATACGACTAGTGAAGACTGAGAACCTTAGTGTGTGTGTGTCTGAGACGGTGAATTGTATTAGTTCTAGTTACGAGTTCGGTGTATAAGTGCAATAAATACAATAGTTCATTCCAAACCCCGTCTAATAGCCACACATCCCTGAAAATCGTGATAATACATTGCTGAAGTGCCTAATTTAACCGAAGATGCCTGCATCTGGAAACGGATCTATCGCTATACTGGCAGTGTTCACATTAGTGTTATAATGGAAAATTTTCTTCTGTGGACTATCGTCTCTATTAAAATATTAATGAAAATTTGGAGGATACCTCTACCTCCGTGTTCAGGTAAAAGAGACGAGTATATGCCATTCGGTACCTGTTGGATATCTAGTGATAATAATGGGCTTTATGCAACTGCCCCAATAAGCAGCTGCCCTTTGCTTTCCACTCATTTGTGGCGCACTATGTAGTCCTGCTTTTAGTTTGTAAACCTTGTAAAGACAGCTTCTGCATCTTCTAATTCAGAGAATGGACCACGTTCTAAAGGCAATTGTGCAGCACTTTAACGTTCATGGCCCTTTAAACCCCACCTGTTAAAAATCTTAGCATCAAAACTTCAAAAAAAATTATTTCCCATAATTGTAATAGAAAATGCATATATGATATTGGTGGGAAAGCCAGACGGAAAGAGAGCGCTAGGAAGACCAAGAAGTAGGTGGGTGGATAATATTAAAATGAATCTTAGAGAGATACGGTAGGATGGTATGGACCGGATCGATCTGGCTCAGGACAGGGAACGGTGGAAGGCTCTTGTGAACACGGTAAAGCACTTTTGGGTTCCATAAAATGTTGGGAAATTCTTGAGTAGCTGCACAATTGGCGGCTCCTCATGAAGGGCTCGGCTCCATGAGTGAGTGAGCGAGTGAGTGATTTATAAGAGAAATACTGTTAATATAATTTAATTTTAAGAGTCTGGAGTAAACTTATGAAGTATTTTAATTTCAGTTTATACCTCACAAGGAACACACTGTGGGTCCAATTTATAGACCAATCTAAAAATGACGTTTAAAGAAATAATACTGACGTCCCACTAACAGACAATACGCTAATGGCAACATTCGCGATGACACAGCAATAATGTCATCAGACCAAGATCCAAACACAGCCTCCCAAAAACTGCAGCAACACCTCAACTTACTCCAAAACTGGATGGAACAATGGAGAATCAAAGTAAATCCTGCAAAATCCTCCAAAATAACATTTACAACAAGAAGAGCTGTCTGCCCGCAAGTTAGTATCAACACGCTCATACCCATCAAACAGGAAGTTAAGTATTTAGGACTCCACCTTGACGAGAAACTAAGGTGGAGAACGCATATAAAAGCTAAGAGAAGACAACTAGAGCTCAAAACCAGAAATATGAATTGGCTGATCGACAAAAAATCACAGCTATCTCTTGAAAACAAGATAATCCTATACAAAACGATAATCAAACCAGTCTGGACCTACGGGATAGAGTTATGGGGATGCAGCAAACCTTCCAAATCAAAAATTCTCGAAGCGTTCCAATCAAAAACGCTAAGAAACCTAGTTAATGCTCCCTGGTACGTACCAAACGCTACCTTACACAATGATCTAAGCATACCACATGTAACAGAAGTCATCAGAGCATACGCGGAGAAACACAAAAACCGGACCACTCAAAACAACAACCAACTAATAAGAAACCTCTTCAACCAGCCAGCAATAGAAAGAAGACTAAATAGAATGTGGCCAGAGGATCTCATTAGATAAGCACCAGAGAATCATCGGAGGATGATACCTGCTTCATTAATACACACACCCATCCCTTTTACTAATTACTCTATTTATGTATATTGAGTAGATTGTAAAATTATTTCAAGATAAAAATAATAGTTGTTTATGCTGAGAATTATATGAAACACACAAATACATCATTGGGGCCGAAATGCAGGCTGTGTATGCGCTAAAACAAGTAGCCCATATAATTTAAATGTGATTTAGATGGTTAATACTCCCACTTATAACTGATTGTGTATTTCGAGGAGTATGGATTTAATTAAATTTATGAGAAACCATTACAGTCCACAAAGTCATATGGAACAGTAGGGCTACGTTTTCTCCCTGTTGAATTTAGCATCATAACATGAGAACTATGGAAGTGTGGAGGTATAGTTCCACATGTTCCTGACCTCAGAACAAGATTCACAAGGCTCCACGTTTCTTTTAAATTGAAGATAACATTTTTGTTTCTAATTTCAATACCAATAATACTGATCCTCAAACCAGGCAAAAGTCCTAATAGTGTGTCATCTTGTCGTCCTATAAATTTATTACCCATCATATCTAAGCTCCTCGAAAGACTTCTCTTAAAAAGAATAAGGACTGACCCAAATACAGAAGAATGGATACCATCACATCAATTTGGTTTTAGAGAAAACCACTATATTGTACAGCAGATACATAGAATAACATACAAAATACACCAAGCAATAGAAAATAAAGAATACTGCACATCGGTCTTCCTCGATGCAAGTCAAGCCTTTGATAAGGTATGGTATCTAGGACTACTGTACAAAATCAAAAAATGTTTCATAAACCTCCTTTTCCTATATAACAAGGAAGGAAGCGTATATTCCGTTATTATGCTTATCATGCAACCAGATACAGGAAATTAGAACTGGCTTGCACATATGAATATGATTCATAAACTTAGACGGCCACCGCAGTTTCCCGGAATTATACCACTGTTTGGATGCTATCTCATCAAGGTCAGTACAGACCGACACAGAAAAGTTAACTTCGAATTTTAGAAGCTGTAACTGATTATTGTCTTACAGTGTTTGAATGTTCAGATCTGAACTTAATGGAACTAGTGGAGAAATAAATATAGGTGTACAGAAATGATACGGCTTACTGAGTCCAGTTACTTAAAGTGAGCATAAAATTGTTCCTGTGCTTAATTAAGCGTCATATTATGTAGAGATATGGAAGACAATACATAGCCCCCGCGCTATTCTCAATTTTTTTCACTAGATGGAGAGGAGCGGTTAGGTTCACGCTTCGGCTGCTTTACCTTTGGGCAAATTGCCACTGGTACCCATTGCAAGGAAAGCTGGGTGGCCCTCAGAACATGTTTGGGGGCTGTGAAGAAAGGATAAATCTCTTGAAGAATGCCGTCTTCTGGGATGCTGCGCCGTGTAGATCCTGTGTGAACCGACATTTCGGAGAAACGTATCGTCTCCATCATCAGGGTAGAACTATCCGTGAAGGAAGAACCAGCTTGAGCAGGTGGTAGCAGAATTCTTCATAGTCACCGCCGTGAAAACCTCAAATCTTACATAGATAAATCACTTGTTCAATCAAGATGTCAAATTGCATATATTTATCGTATAGAAATAAATTGTTCTATAGTTAATACAGGCCTATCTGTATATCAAGACCGCCTCTGTAGTCTACAGAGTTTCTGGCTACAGATCCAGAGGTCCCGGGTTCGATTCCCGGAGCTACCAGATTTTCTGAGAAGTAGAGGGTCTAGAACGGGTCCACTCAGCCTCGTGGGGATAATTGAAGACCTACTTCGAGGAAATAGAAGCTCCGGTCTAGAAAACAGAAATTAACGGCCGTGAAGATTCGTTGCGCTGATCACCCGACACCCTCTATCCGCTAAAGTTGGCACTAACTTCGCCGACAAGCGGCAGTCGCTCGGTCGGTATATTTCGCTTGCGGACTACAGGCCGCGGAGTTTTCTTTTTTTGTTTTGACTAGGGCCTCTAAAACGTTGCACAGGCCGGGTCGAGTAAAGCCAGTGCTGTTTGTATGCAGCAAACATAGACTCCACACTTCCCTTCATTGGAAATACAGTGGACATTATCATGCACACCACTCTTGCTCGTTCATTTGTGTCTGAGTGAAAAGCTGCGCAGGCGTCTTCTCATGAAACGCGTGACGGAGTACCTCCGCGCCATCAGTACGCCGCAACAAGTGAGCGGGTAGGGTTAGTGTCTTAAGGAATCTCCATTCTTAATTGCATCCTTACCTTCACATGACGTACTCCGGTAAACACAAACAAGCTTCAGCAACCGAGTCGTACCAACATAACTAGCACAGCAACAGATCAAAACAAACACGTCCTTTCGAAAGGATTTCGATAGTTTGTATTTTATATCAAACCCATGTATTTAATTGTTACTTTATTTATTTGCTTGTGGTTTATTTAACTACAATGTCAGCAAATCAGACCATAAATACATAGTGTGAGTGATGGCATGTTTACTGATAAAGAATTGAAGAGGATGTAGACAGAAACTGTCGAAGTATAATCAGGGTTACTGCCCCGGTATTTTCCCGGAAGGAAGAAGGAAAACCACACGAAAGCCGGTCTTTGTGTACGATGTACTAATGTTACTCTTTTTATCGAGAGCTTCGTTAAATTATATTACAACTACGTTCCACGTAGGGTGAAAGGTAAGGTAAAGTTGTCCCTGCGCTTAATTCGTTAAGCACTGTGCCGTGAAGGCGTATGGGGCAGTGGAGTTATAGCTCCAACTTCTTTGACCTCGGCACTAGTTAGAGGTGAGTGGTCGGTTTCACGATCCTGCCGCTTTAACCCCAGGGAAAGAACTCCCGATACCCATCAAATAGGAAACTGGGTGTGACCCGGATTCCGTCTGGACGCTGTGGAGAGGAGGAAAACCTTGCACTGAGCAAGAATAATCCACCGCTACGTAATGGACGGTCTGCAAAACTTTGTCATGCTTCCTGTGATGCACTGACGCTCAGGAAGTCAAAACGAGACAATAAAATAGAGCGAAAGCAACGACCGGATGATCAAGCAGATATTTTCCTGCGAGAGTTCTGATAAATAGAATTGGAAATTCTGCTTTCATTCCACAAAATTCGCAGACTTTTCTATTAACGTTCGAAAATTATTTCAGTTTCGGGTTAAACTGTAAGCAAAGACTACACATAAAGGGTATGTAGGAACACTGGTGTTATTAGAAAATGTGAGACTCATTACAAACAAATTTTTAAGTTTCATTACTAAATGGTGTATAATATAATTACAATAGGCCTATATGTAAGGTAAGTTAAAAGTGAACTTAATTCGAAGTTTAATTAATTAAGATTCAAATTAACAGATCGAAACCTGATTCAGGAGGAAATTAAGATGCAATTGAACTCGGGTAATGCTTGCTACCATTCAGTCCAGAACCTTCTGTCTTCTCGTCTGCTGTTCAAAAACATAAAAATTAGAACATACAAAACTATACTTTTGCCTGTGATTCTGTATGGGTGTGAAACTTTGTCTCTGACATTAAGGGAGGAACATAGACTGAGGATGTTTGAGAACAGGGTGTTGAGAATATTTGGACCGAAGAGAGATGAAGTGACAGGAGGTTGGAGGAAACTGCATAATGAGGAGCTTCATAACATGTACTCTTCTCCAAGTGTAATTAGAATGATCAAGTCAAGGAGGATGAGGTGAGCAGGTCATTTAGCACGAATGGGGGAGACGGGGAATGCGTATAGGATATTAGTGGGAAAACCAGAAGGAAAGGGATCACTGGGAAAACAAAGTCGTAGTTGGGTGGACAATATTAAAGGGGACCTTAAAGTGATAGGATGGGATTGTATGGATTTCATTGATCTGGCTCAGGATAGGGACCAGTGGGGGGCTCTTGTAAACATGGTAATTATCCTTCGGGTTCTATAAAATGCTGGGAGATTCTTGAGTAGCTGCAGAATTGGCGGCTCCTCCAGAAGTAAGTAATTTATAGAGACGTATGGGAGAGTGGAGATATAGCTCCCCCATTCATGACCTTGGAACTGGATAGAGGCGAGTGATCAGCTTCATGCCCCGGTTGCCTTATCCCCGGGGAAGGGGCATCCGTTATCCAGTGGACAGGATGCTGGTTGTGACCCAGAGTCGGTCTAGACGTTATGGAGAAGAGAAACACTTTCTCCTGATGGCGTACAGATTGAGGTACAACGGTTTCGCCTTTATTTTAGGTCTAATGCATTTTTAGTGCCAGCAAGTCACTTAGTAGATACAGCCGTAGGTAGAACGAGACTTTGATATTAAAATAAATCTTAAGAATTATAGGATGAGAAGGTGTGGAGTGGATTCATCCGGCTCAGGATAGGAGCCAGTGAGGGGCGCTTAATATTAAGTAGCCCGAGTGTTCCAAGGAAAAAGGGGTATGTGACTGGTTCAGCTTCTCAAGAAGGACGGTGCAAATACAGTTAATTAGCTGAATTGACTAACTTAATTACGCTTAAGTGATCAGTCATGACATGTCTGCCTTGATGTTGAGAGGAACTGCTCCTCGTATCCGAACACAGTCCGTCAGGACCTCAGACCCCCTCGGACGTGTCTCTCTGTGCCGTGACGATGTGTAGTCCCGAGGAGAAACTTGTCGCCTAAAAGTTCAGGGTCGAAAGGTAAACCGATGAAGCAAGGTGCAAGTATTCGTAAATTTCATTCAGTGTACACGGCGTCATATCCGAGAAGATAACACTTTTCAAGTTCAAGACTTTTTATATGGATAGACGACCATTTTACCTAATCCTTCCTGCCTCACCTTGGCCTTGAGGTCGACTCAACCTCTAACAGAAATGAGTACCAGGAATATTCCTGGGGGGTAAAGGGCGGCCGGTATGCAAGGCTGACAAACTTACCGCCATCTGCGAGTCTACTCTATATAGAAAATATGAGAGCCTCGACTTCTCGAAACCCCAATGGGCCTTCACGGCCTGTTACAGGGAGAGCTTTATGTTTTTTTTTTTTTACAATATAATTCTAAATTATTGTCGGGGTTTCCGTGGCCTATACTGTTCAAACCAAAAGCAACACTGTGCTACTAAAGGCGAGCAAGTTGAAGATGTTTGACATTCTGTAGTATTGATTCTATAAGTAAGGAAACTGTTTTCAGTTACGCTTTCACATTCTATAAGAAAGTTTATTTGTTCCTCACGCTTTGTAAAATATAGTCCATAGAAAACCCGACAATAATTTAGAATGACCCTGTAGTTTCGTGAATTTAGCTTCGAGGGCCGAGAAATGGCCTGTGACAGGAATCACAATTCCGTACTAAACTCTCGTAGAAGGGGAGTCGATATATCTCAGCTGGTATAGTGGTTAGACTACGGGACGGAAGAACGAGGTATTTGGCTTCGATTCCCGAAACGGGCAATGTGGTTTTCTCGTCTATGAACTCCTCGCATTCATCCTCCTATCCAAAGTATAAGGGGGCCTTTTTACCCGGAGAAAAAACAGCCGAAGCGTGAATCGTACCACTCACATCCATCTACTACCTAGATTACGAATGCATAGAACTATACAGAAACCTTCCCATACGTCTTCATGGAGTGGTAATTGCGAGTAATTAAGCCACAGAAACAAATATACATTTACTTTACGTACATATTCGTAGATCATCAGCTGAGTTCCTTGTACACTGAAGAGATTATGTCCTGCATTCATTCTCGCAAACTTTTCCTAGAGTATCTTTCAGTGAACGTCACATTGGGCATGCAAAGTTACGGAAGAATAAATCCTATGATTTCAACGAGATCTCTGTTATAAAAATATCGGCCCACATCACATATTTAAAATATAATTTAGTAAGTTTCTAATGATGATGTGACAGCCTGCCTCACTGTAAGATGACGACGTAGGAACAGAAATGCTGAGACAGAATTCAATTGGTTAATCTCTTTAAGTACTCCGTCTTTAGCCTGCAGGTTATTAGCAATCTGCAATAAGTTATCAGAAGGCCAAGAACTTCGAACATTCATGCGCGTCTAGTAATCAGACAGTACTTATTCTCTGTTAACAAACAGTTTCGCAGTTAACTGTAAGCCTATTACATGCAGTTTTCTGCTGAAACAACTGTGACCACTGTTTTCTCTCTGCTCCAGAAATCAACAAATTTCATCGCATATTCATTAAGTCAAGATAATAAGAGAATATGGTGGACTTACAAGCAACAGGAGGAGTGATAACCATTCTCATTATCCTCGGTATATACGTGGTCCAAGGAGAATCAGGTAAGATATGGTCACGTGATTTGGTGACTATAGACGGGGTTTGGATTAGTAACTGGATTTATTAAACTCTTGCAGGTCCATGACTACAAGTATTTATAACGTTTCACTAATTCACACACTTTACAGTTCACTAGAGCACACACTTATGTCTTCTCAGCCTGCTATGTCTTAACCAGTTTTCTGGTAACGGCTTCCAACTTCCAAAGTTCCCTTCCTCTGCGTTCCCAAACTGTCTCCGGTCTCAACTACAGCACCTCGCCACTTACTGACTCAAATCACCAATGAACTTACACCACTCCACCAACTGTCTCTCACTAACTGTCCTTATAATATCTCGGCACGGACAGAAGGTTAAACAACATCCATTACTGCTGTGCAATTGATGACATGGAAACATTCTGGTTTACTCGGCCGTTACTTAGCAGCGGTTGTTGCATAGTCATTTATTTCGATGTCGTTGCCTAGCAATGGGTCTACATTCCACAATATTGTTTTATTTGTATGTCGCAACAATACGCCTTATTAAACAACTAAAATAATAAGATTTCTTTTTCGACTACAATTGTTTTTGTCACAGAAGATACTTCTTATATAACATTAATTTTGCCTTCAGTGATGCATAGAACTTCCAAGGATTTTATTAGAAGATATTCTCTTTTCGATCTTAGAATTGTGTTGAAGATTCAGATGTAAATAGATTCAAGGGATGTTGTCTTTCTTCGGTTACGTCGCTGAGGTCTTACCGACAGAAATATCCGGAGATTAACTCAATATTGCGAATATGTGCAGTATGTAAACACAGGCAAACTGGAAGAGTAGTCTTTTCGAAAGTGACACCGTGTAGTCCTATACATACTCGCGGACTATTCGTAAGAAAGTTCTACCTACATCTTCAGGGTTAAAAATAAAGCCAAATAACAGTAAACAGTATGTAAGATTTGAGGCTTTCACGGCGGTGACCATGGTGTTAACCGACGTTCCTCCGAAACGTCGGTTAACACCACATGTACACGGTGCCAAATCCCAAAAGACTGCTTTCTTAACAGTAAACAGAGCTGCTACCTGGTTGCTTACTCATTTACGTACTTACATATGGAGCTGAGCCCTTCTGGAGGAACCGCAAATTCTGCAGCTACTCAAGAATTTCTCAACATTTTATGGAACCCGAAGGTTCATACCGTGTTCACAAGAGCGCTCCACTGGTCCCTATCCTGAGCCAGATCTATCCAATCCATACCATCCCATCCTATTCTCTCTCTCTACAATCCACTTTAATATTGATCACCCACCTACGCCTTGGTCTTCTCAGTGGTTCTTTCCTTCCGGTTACCTGGTTGCTTGCTTAGTTTAATATTCGACCCTAGAAATGGGGGCAGTTTCTCCAAAACGCCTGCGAAATTCTACCAGACTCTATGAATTCTCATAACAGAAGACAGTGTGCATCACAGTCATTGCTGTGAGAACCTCAAATCATACAAATGTCTTGCCACACTGGCTCCTTTCAAAATGTTATGTTGTCTGTAGAGTGCATCGTGAACGTCGGGTCTGACCTCCAGTACAAATCTCCGTTACTAATCAGTCCTGATGATGAAATTGTGCTGGATGGATCACGATTCGTGCTGCCAACTAAAGCATCACGGAGAGTCAGCTTGCAAGAAGGAGAAGGGGTGGAGTTGTGGTGCCCCGGAAACAGCAATCAATTGAACATCTCTGGGACGACAAGGGATTTCAAAGAAACCAGCATCACTTGCAACTCAGGTACATACTAAATCGGCTATACATTTGTAATTAATGACGTAAATATTTATACGTGGGTCCCTTGTCACCATGGCAGGGCGCGTCCTCAGGTTGCGGAAGGAGGACACGCACTCCAGGTATGGAGGGAAGCTGCGAATATATTGAATAAGTAGTCGCGGACAGCCGACAAGGAGTGGTCCTCCAGCTTGGGGGTTGGGCGTGGGGCTAACAACTTCTCGCCATTCAAATTAAACTTGTTACGAAAATTCTCAAGAAGCCTCGGACCTGGATGCATTCCTTGGATTAACGACCTAAGAGGTAAAGCTATCCCTGTACCAGGCCGTGAAGGCCCATAGGGTTGTGAGATGTTGAGGGTCCCACACTATCTAGACAATCGGCTCAAAGATGGTCTTAAGGTTGTCAGCCTTAAGCGCCAACCACACTTTACTCTCCAGGAAAAGTCATTTAATTAATTCCCGGTACTCGTTTCTGTTGGAGGCTGAGTAAACCCCAGGGCCTAGTGCGGCCGGAAGGATTAGGTGAACTGAAAAAATCCATTAGCCTCATCGGAACTTGAACCCGCGACCTTCCGGCTTGTAGCATAGCCCCTCAACCATCTTGTTGAACTTATTCAAGCAGGAGGCGAAATATTACGTTCTAAGATCCACAAACTAATTACTTCTATTTGGCATCAGGAAAAATTGCCTGATCAGTGGAAGGAGTCTATTAATATACCAGTTCACAAAAAGGGTGATAAAACTAACTGTAGTAATTATCGAGGGATATCACTGCTATCAATTTCATACAGAATTCTGTCCAATATTCTTCTCTCAAGGTTAAGTCCATATAGAGATGAAATTATTGGGGATCATAAATGTGAGTTTAGATGTAACAGATCAACTACAGATCAGATCTTTTACATTTGTCAGATATTGGAGAAAAAATGTGAGTACGATGAGACAGTACATCAGCTATTCATAGACTTCAAGAAAGCCTATGACTCAGTTAGGAGGGAAGTATTGTACAATATTCTTATAGAGATTGGGAGACCCATGAAACTAGTTAAGCTGATTAAAATGTATTAAAAACGAAACGTATAGTAAAGTCCGTGTAGGTAAACATTTGTCTGATAAATTTCCTATCCAGAATGGTCTAAAACAAGGAGATGCTTTATCGCCACTCCTTTTCAACTTTGCTTTAGCATATGGCATTAAGAAGGTTCGGGGAAACCAGCTGGGACTGAAATTAAACGGGACACATCAGCTGTTGGCCTATGCCGATGATGTGAATCTACTGGGTGATAATGTAGATACCATAAAGAAAAACACACAAACTTTAATTGACGAAAGTAATGAGGTTGGTCTAGAAGTAAACACAGAGAAAACTAAGTATATGTTGCGGTCTCGTCACCAAAATGCAGAGCAAAATCATGACATAAAGATAGGAAACAGATGTTCTGAAAATGTGGCACAGTTCAGATATTTGGGAACAACGATAATAAATGAAAACCTGATTCAGGAGGATATTAAGAGGCAATTAAACTCGGGTAATGCTTGCTACCATTCAGTCCAGAACCATTTGTCTTCTCATCTGCTGTCCAAAAACATACAAATCAGAACATACAAAACTATACTTCTGCCTGTGATTCTGTATGGGTGTGAAAGTTGGTCTCTGACATTAAGGGAGGAACATAGACTGAGGGTGTTTGAGAACAGGGTGTTGAGAATATTTTGACCGAAGAGGGATGAAGTGACAGGAGGTTGGAGAAAACTGAATAATGAGGAGCTTCATAACTTGAACTCTTCTCCAAGTATAATTAGAAAGATCAAGTCAAGGAGAATGAGGTTGGCAGGTCATGTAGCACGAATGGGGGAGACGAGGAGTGCGTATAGGATATTTCTGGGAAAACCAGAAGGAAAGAGACCACAGGGAAGACCAAGGCGTAGGCGAGTGGACAATATTAGAATGGATCTTAGAGAGATAGGATGGCATGGTATGTATTGGATAGATCTGGCTCATTATAGGGACCAGTGGAGGACTTTTGTGAACACGGTGATGAACCTTTGGGTTCCATAAACTGCTGGGAAATTCTTGAGTAGCTGCAGAATTGGCGGCTCCTCCAGAAGGGCTCAGCTCCGTAGGTAAGTAATATACGTATTGACAGCCTCTGTGGTCTAGTGGTCAGAGTTCCTGGCTACAGACTTAGAGATCCCGAGTTTGATTCCCGGCGCTAACGGATTCTTTTTTAAGTAGTGGGTCTGGAACGGGTTCCACTGAGACTCGTGAGGATAATTGAGCTACTTAAATGGAAAAGTAGTGGCTCCTGTCTAGAAAACCGAAATTAACGGCCGTGGGGATTCGTTGCGCTGACCACGAGACACCCTATATCCGCTAAAGTTAGCACTAACTTCGCCGGCAAGCGGTAGTAGTTCGGTGTAGTTCGCTTGCGGACTAAAGCCAAGGAATTTGATATATATACATTTGTTTATTTAACGACGTTGTCAGTAGTTAAAAAATATGGCGTCAAATGGTACGATGATAGATGAATGGTGAAACGGAAAACATCTGGAAGGAAACCACAGTAACCTGAGCGAGGTGTTATCCTAGAATTTGCAGGAAGGGACTGAATAAAACCACAGAAAACCTCAGGATGTCCGATGTTGTAAAATATTTGAACAGAGAACCTATCGCTTACAGAGCGTTACCACAGCGATAACATGTCTTGTAAGTTTCCAAGACAGGAGAGACGTTAGAATTAAAATATCTTAGTTTCGGCAGTTCGGAGCCTATGGAGCTGTGAATGCAAAGTTATGCGTTGTTAGAGGCCGAGTCGACCCCAGGGCCTAGTGCGGCTGGAGGGATTAGGCCAATTGAAAAAAATCCAATGACCTCATCGGGATTTGAATGCGCGACCTTCCGGCTTGTAGCATAGTGCCTCAGACAACTAGGATACTGCGCGCCCCAACAGAAATGAGTACCAGGAATTAATTAAATAATTCTCCTGGTAAGTAAAGCGCGGCAGGCGCGTAAGGCTGACAACTTTACCGCCATATTTGAGCCGATTGTCTAGATAATGTGGAAGCCTTATGGGCCTTCACGGCCTGTTACAGGGATAAATTTACTTTTTTTACTTCAAAATTTTTTCACTTCTTGACAAAGTACTCAAAAATGATTTCTTTAAGATTTTCATTGAGGTAAAAATAAAGCTGTTCCTGCAACAGGCCGTGGAGGCCCATAGGTTTTTGATACGTTGAGGTTCCCATATTTTCTCTAGACAATCGGCTCACAGATGGCGGTTAGTTTGTCAGCCATAAATGCCGATCGCCCTTTACCCCCAGGAAGATTCCTGGTACTCATCAGAGGCTGAGTCGGCCCCAAGACCCTAGTATGTCTAGAAGAATTAGATCAATTGAAAAAGAAAATCAATGATCTCATCGGGAATCGAACCCACGACTTTCTGGCTTATGTCATAGCACCTCAACCAACTAGTACATCGCGTGGTTCCTTGTATAGGAGGGTGACTGTTGAAATTCATTGATACATATAGTAATTAGTGCAATATCGCTAAATTTTAACATAATATTTATTTTAACTTTTACGTTTACGGGCTCAGATACTTTAAGTTCTCCATGTTTATATACACAGTGTGACTGAAATGTGTGGGCAACGTTCTGGAACAAGTTCCACATAACAAAACGAGAAAAAAATGTCCATATTAACACGTGTCCCGAAACATTTAATCTCTGAGTTATAACTGAAAGAGCACATTTAAAATAAGTGCTCACAATGTCCTCCAAGAAATTCAATGCACGCCTCCACACGTCTCGTCATGGACCGACGCATCCGTTCACAGATGTCGGGGCAGTTGCAGATAGTCTGACAGGCATCCACAGTGCGGTGGTGAGGTGGTGAGGTGCCTCTTCGTTGCCAACACAGAAACCGGCTAAATGCTTCAGTCATCTTTGAACGGATGCGACGGTCCGTGACGAGATGTGACGAGTCGTGCATTAAACCTCATGGAGGACATTTCGAGCACTTATTTTAAATGTATTCTTTCAACTATATCTCACAAATTAAATGTTTCTGGACACGTGTCGATATGGATATTTGTTTTCGTTTTGTTATGTGGAACTCATGACCAAAATTTTTCCGCACTTTTCTGTTATACTCTGTATATAAATACTAAGTTCCATTTAATATGGCACACTCCCTGAAGATGATCTTGTGTGACCGAAACATATCGGGATTTTAATATTGTAGCGTGTACAGCCGTTGTTAGGAAATAGACGGAAAAACAAAGGTGTTACACCATCCGTTTCCAGGTAAAGGTTTGGTAAAACACAAGTTCCCGCGGCAAAGAATACGCTCATAATAATAGAGTTACTGTTGTAAATGGTGTTTTCTAATGGGTCAGTGCAAAGTGATTATTTGGAAAACAATTGGGGTGATCCAGTTACTGTCCATTCCCCACCTTTAATGACACCACCTTTAGATATTTTATATACATTTATTAATATGTCTAACATGTAAAATGTAAATATCCTTTACATTAGGACACATCACTTACTACTGTAATGACTCTGACAAAACACAGACCAGTCTTCTAAGCAGAGAGGGTGCCCAACAATAACAAGTCCGTAACTGTCAAACGGTAACAAATATCTGCTTATGGACCCAAGATGGAGCTAGGAACCAAGACTGACTGACTGACTCAGTGGCGTAAGTCGCAATGTGACTTTGACTTTGACTTTGACCCAGTTAGTTGTCAGTTGAGAGTTGAGTTCTGCACGAGAGGCTGTTAAGAGAGGACCTGAGCGCAGGAAGCTGAAGAATCTTCACCATAAGAAGCCGTTGCTAGGGAATGGCTCATGAAGCCATAAGAATCTGGGAAAAGACTTAGCGAGTGCTGTAGTGATTCGTAAGTGATGGAGACGAGCGATGACACTGTAATTGTAGTTCNCGCGAGCGTTACGTTACCGCTGAGGGGTGGGAGGGGAGCGCTGACTCACCAACCGCGTCACTGCTGGTGTGTGGGGGGGGGGCTCGGCTTTGCGCGACATGTCACAATATTTTATATACATTTATTAATATGTCTAACATGTAAAATGTAAATATCCTTTACATTAGGACACATCACTTACTACTGTAATGACTCTGACAAAACACAGACCAGTCTTCTAAGCAGAGAGGGTGCCCAACAATAACAAGTCCGTAACTGTCAAACGGTAACAAATATCTGCTTATGGACCCAAGATGGAGCTAGGAACCAAGACTGACTGACTGACTCAGTGGCGTAAGTCGCAATGTGACTTTGACTTTGACTTTGACCCAGTTAGTTGTCAGTTGAGAGTTGAGTTCTGCACGAGAGGCTGTTAAGAGAGGACCTGAGCGCAGGAAGCTGAAGAATCTTCACCATAAGAAGCCGTTGCTAGGGAATGGCTCATGAAGCCATAAGAATCTGGGAAAAGACTTAGCGAGTGCTGTAGTGATTCGTAAGTGATGGAGACGAGCGATGACACTGTAATTGTAGTTCTGAGTGCTGTTTATAACTGGCCAATAAATCCATTCACCAGTACTTTCCCCGCCTTCAATGGCACCCGTAAATAGTGACAATACAATAAATACGAGGAAATAAAACAGGTATAATGAGATAAAAATCTGAATCTTATATAAAAAAAAACTCCGTTGCTTTGGCGTCAGTCCGTAAGCGAACTATATCGACTGAGCTACCGCTTGTCAGCGAAGTTAGGGTGTCGCGTTGTCAGCGCAACGAATTCCCACGGCCGTTAATTTCGGTTTTCTAAACCGGAACCGCTACTTTTCCATTCAAGTAGCTCCTCAATTATCCTCATGAGGCTGAGTAGACCCCGTTGCTGACCCACTACTTCTCAGAAAATCTGGTAGCGCCGGGAACCGAACCCAGGACCTCTGGATCTGTAGCCAAGAACTCTGACCACTATTCATTATTTAAATACTTTAAAATAATTTCGAAATTAATTTATTCAATTTCTTAAGAGGTTATTCGCACAGGCGCTTACTCTCATAGATTCGTTCATCACCCATCGTCACTGATATGTATTTGCACACTCTCTGCTAGACTCCTGGTCCCGAATTCTCTCTTCATGCTTAGTCATTCAGACAATGAGACTCATAAATGTCCTTCATGAAAGTGAATTTCGCATTTTCAGGCATTGACTTCGAGTTCAGAGGAGCATCTGCCCCGATAACAGAGTTCCAGTGTACAGATGTTCCACAGTCAACTATAAGAGAGGTCGGAACATGCTCCAGTGGTCATAGAAGATTACAAATCGGTTACGAAACATCATTTGGCAAGTTCGTTCGTCTTATCGATATCTGCTTCGATGACACAAACTACCGGGCATCTTACGTCAATTACACACTAGTTGATGGCATTGAGATCCGTCAGAACTTTCAACAAGTCAGCAACTTGAATCAGGACGATTATTTTACCGGACTTCCCGATTCACCGGACATGTATTACACGTGTTCAAATCAACGCAGAGTAATTGGGAAGCTAGTTGGTTCCTCGCGCGTTGGTCAGTTTATTACATGTTCAAATAATATTAACTACTTAGTTGAAGCTCATTTAGCAACCCCTTTAGATTTCGTTTATGTTGCCCAACAAAGATCTACGCAGTACCATGTAAATGTTGTACCAATGTGGCGCAGTATCAGACATGGCAACTGGATTAAGTTAGAGGAGGAAATAAGGAAGTACGCAAGTAACACAAGTCGAGAAGATTCTCACGTTACTGTCTACTCCGGCACCCTTGGCGTCACTGCTATCGGGAGTCGTAACCTTTTCCTTGGCAGACACAACAACGGCAATGACGTATTACCTGTGCCCAAATGGATCTGGAAGCTGGTTTACGAACCCAGTACACAGGAAGGCATTGTATTCTTGGTCGTGAATAACCCATACACGCTAAGCTTCACATGCAGCTGTGTATGTGCCCAGACAAAGTGGACTCTAGCTTGGAACAGAAGAGATAAAAGTAGTGGTTACGTGTACTGTTGCTCAGTGGATAATTTCAGGAGGGTGTTCAGCGGGTTGCCTGATTTTGAAGTTACAGGGTTACTCACAAAGAACAGGCCTTACACACGTGTGTTTCCTGATATTCGAGCAGAATAACATGTCATGGTCAGGATTCCAGAATCAAAGCAGAAATCTGTAAGCCAATAGTGATTGCTATATGCGACATTAGCGCTAAATTTTTGGGCTATAAGCTGTATCAATGCTGAAATAAAAATCAATGTTTCAGAGATCGCGGTCTCCAGTATCGGAGTTGACGTGGTGACTGGCCTTGTTTCGCTAATATTTGTACCATCTGTCAAATATGATGCCTATTCTTATCGGACAGGAGGCGGTCACCCATCGGAATCTAACTTCTCGCCATTTTACTTAACATAGATTACCTTTTGTCAGACTATTTTGTTTTCTTTTTTTCCCATGCTCATCTCAGTGTCTTCTTGAGATTTTCGTGATGTCCTATGTACATTTTTCCGAATGAATGTGAAAAAAAAATATTTTCGCGTGTTTCCTAGGTAACGCGACAAGAAACGATGGTTCTCGAATTAGACGGATACGTGTATTGGACTATTATTTGGTTACACTCGCAATTGCAACCTCTCGAACTTAAAGCGCTTTCAGACGTTTCCTCTACAGCGGCTCTGCTCTTGCGCCGCTAATCTCGGTGAAGCGTCTTGGCTCTTCTTTTATTCCTTGTCGGATCTGAACTGACTTCTGCTCTTGTCGAAGCTGAATTGACTTGGTCAAAGTCAAAGTCACATTGCGACTGACAGTCAGTCAGTCAGTCAGTAAGTCTTGGTGTCGAGCCCCATTTGGGTCTCATGACCAGATATTAATTATTACCGTTTGACAGTTACGGTCTTGTTTCTGTGGGGCGCCTTCTCTGACGAGAGGACGGGTCTGTCTTTTGTATATGTTGCTCGCCCTTGCCAGCGCAGTCTTACTCGGATCCGAGTCCCTTGGGACTCGCGACCATATTTTACTGTCTCAGAACTGAGACTTCCCTTTTCGTCGCCTCCTACGACTCGCAGGGTCACGGTGGAGGTATTCGACCCCGCCTCCACACGGGGTCCAAGTCCAAGTCACACTGCGACTGACAGTCAGTCAGTCAGTAAGTCTTGGTGTCGAGTCCTCTGAACTGTTCTTCGCTTATATCCTACGCTCGGACCGGATAGAGAACACTTGCCGAAAGCTTCAGTTTCGCTGTTGTCATGCAAACGACTCTCTCGTTGCTACGGGAACAAATGTCTGCCTAACTGGCGCTGTTGTAATGCAACTGCCTCAAACAACTCGTTGCCTAGGCATTGTTAGCCTCTTTGTAACGTTAGAAACCCCACTGTTAGGCTTTCGTGTTGTTTAAGCGATTTCCTATGCAACAGGTTGCTTATATTTCGTTGCCTAGGTATTCCTAACCGTTGACCAGCAATGGACACCTTATAGTCCGGCTTTCCTGGCGGCATGTCACAATAGGACAGACAGGCGGATCCATTGTAACAATGTGCAAAGAACATGAACGACTCGTACGTGTGAATCAACCGGACAAGTACACAGTGGCAGAGCAGGGCAGCGAGTCAGGCGTCGGACCCTGTTCCATCAGACCGAAGTACGTACTGGCCGAACCATCAGGCTGCATGAACCGACTTGCCAAAGAAACAATACACATAAGAGTACACCCGGACAATATAAAGAGAGAGGAAAGTTCAAACTCAGCAAAGCAGGAAATCCTATCACCAGTTTATGAAGGCACTCCAACACACACATATCGCGAAATTCCCGAAAAGCAACAAAGAAGATCATGCAAAAAAATAAAATAAATATTTTGACAACAGGGACATCAGGTTAAGCGACAGTGCGTGATTAGGTTTGGATGGATGACCGCACAGTTTGACTCCACCCCCCTGCTACATTATATGCCGACATGTGTTACATGTGTAACACCTGTTTCAACGTCAAGAGTCTACGCATTTTGCCAGTAGACTGCACTTACTTTTGAATTTCGTATGGTTTTCAGAATAAACAGGGATTATTTCCCTGAACATCATTAACAATAAGAATATGCTAGTGTGTTTCCTGTGCGGTAGGTACTGAATTCTTAAATAATATTTAGAATAATGTTTTGCTTCAGTATAATTAGAATGATCAAGTCAATGAGGATGAGATTTACAGGGCATGTAGCACGAATAGGGAGAAGAGGAATGCATATAGGATACTGGAGGGAGAGCCAGAAGGAAAGAGACCACTGAGAAGAAGAAGACGTAGGTGGGTGAGCAATATTAAAATGGATCTTAGAGAGATAGGATGGGAGAGTATGGACTCGATTAATGTGGCTCAGGATAGGGACCAGTAGAGGGCTCTTGTGAGCATGGTAATGAACCTTCGGTTTCCGTAAAATACTGGGATGTTCTTGAGTTGCTGCATAATTGGCGGCTTTTCAAGAAGGGCTCAACTTCGTGAATGAGTTTTGATTCAAAGTTTAAAGCTGTTAGGTAATATATTAGCAGAATGATTCCAAAATATTTGCTATAGTACACCGCTCTGTCATATTTAAAATATCTGGGAGCTATCTTTTGTCCATGGGCTATTCGTTGTATATTTTATCTACATAAACTTTGTGGACTGTCTCGTCTCGTCCTTAAGAGGCTGCTTGGTCTGTTACAGAATGCAGGTTGTTTCCAGTTTTACTTTGATGTTATTTTTAGTCGTGCTTTTCAGACGCATATTTTGTCCCATATGCGCAGGTTGGCGCACTCTCTCTTCCACGAACCCAACACGTGACACTATTTTAGTTTAGGGAGCCATATGTGTAAGGCTGGTTGTTAAACTTGCTTATTGTGAACGTTGTTGCGGAAGATATCTGCGTGGAAGTCATAAACACATGCCCCTCCTTCAAAAACAAAACGAATAAGAAATACGTCGAGAAATGCGTTCATGGTGCAATTTAAAGTACAATTCGGTATTTACATTGAAGGATTTGGAAGAACCGTAAAAATTTTCCTTCAGGATAGACGATTTTCGAAGTCGGGACTTGAACTCAAGACTTCCCAAATATGAATCGCGAAGCTTAGTTTATAGGAAAACAACTTCATTGCTTAACACGGCATAAATTCTCAAGCTGTAAATGTAAACAAGGACACAGGGTTTTATCAATCGGAAGTTTGCTAGTACGAAATGAGGGCACACACTTGACAGTGCGTTATGTTTGGAACTGCGGTTTACACACCGCTCTAGATATCACAGAAACCCTGCAAACACTCACATAACATAGGTCTACGTTTACTGTAGAAGAAAACGTTTTCATCAAGATGGCGTGCTCCTCTGACGGGCATATACACCTGCTTTCATTATGATAACACATGATACCAATGGCAAAGTTGTGAAAGTGGAATACCAAGCAGTGTAAATTCTTCTTTCAATAATACACAAAATAGCACTGGAATCAAATTTAAATGGATTGAGAATCAAGAATCGATCACTATAAAAACAAGAAATTTTTTACTGAAACGCGGTTTCTGTCATTTTAATAAACATTTATATTCAGAATTATTGGGTTTTCGGACTTTATCCATCTACCTGTAACCTAAAAACTAGAAAACACGACGTTTCGGAAACTTGATCTGTTTCCGTGCTCAGGTGAGGAAGGGGGGGAATCCTACTCAGCTGGGTCCCTTAGAAAAAGCTAATCTCAGTCACTAGTCCAGTATTTCTGAGTCTTATACACAATCGTCAGAACCCTTCAGAAACATTTTTATATATTTACTGTTTATGTAACTCATTGGAGACGAGTCCTTCTCGAGAAGCCACCCATCGCTCAGCTACGCAAGAAATTCCCACAATTTTATGGAACCCGAAGTTTCATTACCTTGTCCACATTGCCCCCCTACAGACCCATATCCTCTATCAGATTAATGAACTCCATATCACCCCTATTCTCTTTTCCTAAGATCCATTATAATACTATCCTCACACTTACGTCAATGTCTTCCCAGTGGTCTCTTTCCTTCCGGCTTTCCCATCAAAATCCTACACATATTCATCTTCTCCTCATGCGTGCTATATGCCCTGTCTAGCTCATCCTCTATTGTAATTATAAGTATTTGGCGAAAAACTCAAGCTATGAAGCTTCCAATTATACCGTTTTCTCCAGCACCATTTTAGTTCAAATATTCTCCTCAGCGTAATAAACAATACGTAAACCTACGTAAGTATACGTTTACTCGAATAACAAGTTCTACTGTAAGATACATAGCAGTTATAAGCCTAAAGAAATGAGGGTTATAAACATTGAAAATGTATTTTAAAAATATGTATACTTCAAATAAAGAGTTCATCTTTTACTTCATTCCATTCAGTTTACATCACTTGTAAATCTGTGTAGAGATTATATTCAATACATTTACAATTGTGTTACAGACTTGTAGCACATGTTGCCTCATCTCCTTTTCTTGTTTTCCTTCACACTCCTGTCTCTTGAAGTGAGAAGTGTGGAACCATGTTCATGCCTCCTTTCCCAGTCTACTCATTGCATTAGAGTTCTCTAAGGTTCGGCCACACAGAGCGCTACGCTATGTTCGCTACGTATGCTACGTACGCTGTGTACACTCTGCGACGCAGCTAACATAGGGAACATAGCGTACGTAGCGTACGTAGCGTACGGAAGTCTGTGTGGCCAGTCACATTGGTAATAAAGGGAGATATTTTTCTGTTCGTATAGCGAACATAGCGTACGTAGCGCTCTGCGTGGCCGAACCTCTACACTCACGCCAACTTTCGCAAGGAAATAACTTTAACTACCCAAGGAGACTTACTGGGTATAATATCACTTGCTCATTTTCACCATTTTCTGCAGTTCGTGTTCTTCACATTTCAGAGTGAGACAGTTAATTTCCCATCATCATCATCATCATCATCATCATCATAAAAATATGATTGATTAATCACGTTTGGACCCAAATACTTACGATATAATCTTAAGGATTATAAACATATGACTAAGAAAGGCATTTAAACCCTCCTCAACACTAACAAGTGCCGAGATCACGAAAATGTGGATCAATACATCCACTTCATCATACGCCTTCATGACGTGGTGCTTGATTAGTTAAGCACAGAGTACTTTACCTTCTTAACATATTTACATAACTACAGACGTTTAAATCTGGTAGTTCCGTGGCATTCATGAATTTTTCAGGCATATTTCCTCTTTTGGTCGAGATGCATAAATTATCCTTGGCAAACGGTTTTACATTCTTAGAAATGTTGGAACCATTTTATGTATGTTAGTATCCACATATCATACTTAATAATATTTAATGCTTTTACTTGAAATTCTTGTAAAAAAACAGTAACATTTTCACATGAGCGTTAAAATTTTACCACGGACACATCCGTGTAGACGGAAGTTGTGTTTTTAGACTGACATGCTCTCTTCTGGAATGTTATGACGTCAGTGAAGCGGTCTGGTTTCTCTTATGAGATGAAGGCGCTCAGTAGACTTCCATGTGTTCTGCAGCTTGACTGGGCGTAAATTTTCGAGCGCGTGGTTGTGACTGTACGTAATTATATTAACATAATGACATATGAGAGAGACATGTACAGGCTTGCAGTCAACTGAGGCAAGGACAACAGACATTGCTTCAGAGCTGAACTTACGCTGATACGGAGCAAGTTATGTCGTCTTCACTTCTTCTGACTCAACTGAGTCTATTTGTTTTATTAATCTGTTTACTTTATGGGCACCATTGTGCAGGTATGTACGAGTATTGACCCTGTCTGTAGATTAACTGCCAGTGGTAGAGCTAATCCTAAAATAAGCCTGCAAGTGGAGCAATTCAAGATATTAGTGCATTCTGGTAAGTACTTTGAAAGAACTTGCTGTCTCGAAATGTATTTCTACCCCAAAGTTGAGGTCTTGTTACTCATTTTGCCTGTGATCCAGAGACTTAGTGCCTGCTGTTGTCAAGCGAAGAGTAAAATGTGTGAATTAGCAATAGCGTTATAGTTAATTGTAGTTATGGTCTGTATATACTCAATAAATCCAATTACAAAATCTGGACCCCTTATATATTTACTTCGTCACGTTAAGATATAATGGATTTTAAAGCAAATTGGATATCTTAAATTACATAAAACCCTTGTGAATGAAATTTAAATTATACGTACAACTAATAGGTAAATTATTTTTTAGTTAAATCAGGGATTCATTTTTAGACTGTTAAACCTTCCTGTAATAACTTCCTTTTGACAGGCGCTGGGGGAGTTTTAGGAAAAGCCGACATAAGCGGAAGAGTGAACAGGAGATTTGGAAGAAGTGGACCTTCGGAAACTAATGTAAATCAAACACAAAATCAAGTACAAAATGCAGGTTAGTACTAGCTCTACAACAGCCATGATGGATCCCTCCCATAGGGTATGCACAGATGTTCAAGCTTTGTCAAGATGAGGGAAGCTGGTGCATTGTAACTTTCCCAGGGTCAGCACCGGCATTCATGTGAAGAGCAATGGTTCAAATTATACTTTTGTAATTCTTAAAAAAAAAAAAATCGAGCATACTAAGTTTTTCTTAAGGAATTTCTATCTGTTTCAAAATCAAACAGAACAGAAACTTTCTTTAACGTAACCTAACCTGTACATGTAGCGGGAAACAAAGTTCATAGTTCAGTTATTAAAGGTAAAGTTGTCCTGGGCTTAACTAATTAAGCACTATGCCATGAATTAATATGGAGTAGTGGATGTTAGATCCACGTTTTGTTGACCTCGGCACTAGGTGGAGCACTAGCTTCACTCCCCTGCCGCTTTACCCCCGGAGAAACTGCTCCCGGTATCCACTGGATAGGATGCTGGGTAGACGCCAGAGCTGGTCCGGATGACGTGGAGAGAACAAATTTTTTACCCTACTGGAACTCGAAATCCGCCCTCTCAGTAGTCCAGCCCTTAGCTAATCGCTATACCGACTGAGCTATCCCGGATCTTTACTATGATTTGATATTTACGTCAAAGAGAAACAAAAAAAGAATTGCTCAAACATCATTTTACATTTCTGTGTAAGATGCACCAAATCAGATTAGTAGAAACATTAGTTGTAAGTTGCACAAGTCTTGACCCTATCTTTCCGAAAAAACAAAAAGAAAACCGTACTTCGAAATCAATTCGGATACAAGAGAGAAGAATTCACAGGACGATGGAAGAAATCACTCCCTGAAGAGTCTCGAGGTTTATACTATTCGTCAAATGTTGTTGCGGAGATTATAGTAAGGAAGATAATGAGATAAAGAAGTAAAGTATGTATGAGGAAGACGGAAAGTACACATAAAATTTTGGTTGAAATTTTCAATATGGCATGCAATTTTGGAGCCCTTAGGTTCCACTGCGATGGTAATACTAAACTGGATCCAAAATAAATATGAGGAAATTTACCTACTTACTTACTCATGGAGCTGAGCCCTTCTGGAGGAGCCGCCAATTCTGCAGCTACTCAAGAATTTCCCAGCATTTTATGGAACCCGAAGGTTCATCGCCGTGTTCACAAAAGCCTTCCATTGGTCCCTATCATGAGCCAGATCTATCCAATACATACCATGCCATCCTATCTCTCTAAGATCCATTCTAATATTGTCCACCCGCCTACGCCTTGGTCTTCCCTGTGGTCTCCTTCCTTCTGGCTTTCCCACCAATATCCTATACGCATTCCTCGTCTCCCCCATTCGTGCTACATGAACTGCCCACCTCATCCTCCTTGACTTGATCATTCTAATTATACTTGGAGAAGAGTACAAGTTATGAAGCTCCTCATTATGCAGTTTTCTCCAACCTCCTGTCACTTCATCTCTCTTCTGTCCAAATATTCTCCTCAACACCCTGTTCTCAAACACCCTCAGTCTATGTTCCTCCCTTAATGTCAGAGACCAAGTTTCACACCCATACAGAACCACAGGCAAAATTATAGTTTTTTATATTCTAATTTTTATGTTTTTGAACAACAGACGAGAAGACAAAAGGTTCTGGACTGAATGGTAGCAAGCATTACCAGAATTCAATCGCCTCTTAATTTCCTCCTGAATCAGGTTTCTATCTGTTATCGTTGTTCCCAAATATCTGAACTGTGCCACATTTTCAAAACATCTGCAAATATAAGGTTATAGAGCGAAATTTATTCGCCCGACTCAGCTCAGTGGTGGGCCCGTTCGTACATGGTAACGAAACTTTGGGTTCCGTAAAATGAGGGAAACTTCCTTAGCAGCCGAGCGACTACTATGATTTACCTTCTGCAGAAGGTATCTGCTTCATTGCTTTCAGTCTGCACCTTCACATTCGCCTTGCAATGCTATTATGTGAGCAACTGTCTGTTACATTTGGACTGAAGGGGCCACGCGGTAGCGTAGTGAGTTGCAGCATTTTGCTACAAGTCGGAAGGTCGCGGATTCGATTCCTGATGTGGTCATTCGAGGTTTTAAATTAATCTAATCCTTCCAGCCGCACTATGGCCCCGGGGTCGACTCAGCTTCTAACAGAAATGAGTACCAGGAATCTACCGGGAGGGAGGGGGTAAAGAGCGGCCTGCGCGTAAGGCTGACAAGCTCACCGCAATCTGTGAGCAGATTGTCTAGTAAATGTGGAAGCCTTAATACCTCACAACCCTATGGACCTCCACGGTCTGTTTCAGAGATAGCTTTACCTTTTACCTTTTACTTTTGGACAGAAGGGACATGAAGGGACAGGAGGCTGGAGAAAACTACATAACGAGAAGCTTCATAACTCGTACTCTTCTCCAAGTATAATTAGAATGATTAAGTGAAGGATGATAAGATGAGCGGGGTATGTAGTACGCATGGGAGGGAAGAGGAATGCAAAGAGGGTTTTGGAGGGGAAATGAGAAATAAAATGGCCAATAGGAAGAGACAGACGTAGGTGACAGTATAATATTAAACTGGACCTTAGAGAAATAGTATGGGGTGGTATGGATTGGATTGATCTGGCTGAGGATATGAACCAGTGGCGGGCTCTTGTGAAGACGGTAATTAAGCTTACGGTTCCATAATATTTCGGGAATTTTTTTGAGTATCTGAGCGAGTGGTGGTTCCTGAAGGAGGACAGGACTATATGTTTGTTTGGTTTGCTAATTTGCCCACCACCACTACCACAACGGAAATTTGATAAGCACATGGAACGCTCTTGTTTGCACACACCTACATTACTTTTATATTCGTGTACTATCGAATTATATTAACTTCTCCTGAAACTGTTGACTGCAACTCCTCATGTCTACATAAATGTAGGTTGCAGTACTCAGAGTGCAGTTCATCCAGTATCGCATTTTGAATGAATGTTGCAGGCTGCACGTTGCGGATAAACTCTGACCTTGACAAGGACTCGCCGTTGCTCCTGAAGTCTTCTGGGTCGCTTGATGGCAACCGCTTCTTCCTACCGACACCAGAGTCGGATATTCTTCACTTCAGAGCAAAAGAGAAGTTCTTGCTGGCTTGTCCTGGTACCGGAAACAGTCTCGTTGTTAACAAACGACAAAAAACCTTCAAAGAGACATCAGCATCCTGCGACTCAGGTACGGTACAGCGGCAACTGCAAGAGCATATACGTACTCGTATTATTTTCTGTTCATTTCCAGACTCTGTGGCCCATTCATCTTCCTCTATTTGGGCGGAGACAGACTTGATGGCGGCATAGAACTAGTGTCTCAACTCTGTAAATTAACCTTTTGCTCTCAGGATAGTGTAGCCTGCATAGCGACTGGCTACGGGTTGGATGACCGAGGGGTCGATGTTCGAGTCCCGGTAAGGTCAAGAATTTTATCTTCTCCGCGTCTTCCAGACCGGTTCTGAGATCCAACCAGCCTCCACTCCAATGGAAAATGGAGTTATTTCCCGGCGTTAAAGCGGCAGGGGCGTGAAGCTGACAACTCATCTCCACCTACTGCCGAGGTCAAGAAAATGTGGATCTATATATCTATTCCCCCATACGCCTTCATGACGTAGTGCTTAATAAGTTAAGCACAGGGACAACTTTATCTTACCTTATTTTGCAGTGTTCTGGACTGTGGCGCAACAGAGTTTCTTGGGCGACTATTAGCTGCTTGGAGGAACACGCCGTTTCCACGTTCTACCCTGAATATACAGGCAATCAGTTCCTCCTAAAAGTTGATAAGTTCTTACTACATTACGTAGTGTCTCTTTTATGGTTCATTCTGCAAATCTGTCAGACTACACGGCGTCAAATTGCAAGATGACATAAGTAAATAATTAGAAAATGTTGGAATGAAGCGATAGTGGTCTAATCGTTGTACCGTTCCAGCATTTACCCCAAGTGACTGAGGAAACTTACGAAAGAATTCGGTGAAGATAATGAATGTTTTCGAAATGTGAAATACCGATCTCCAGAACAAAAGCTGCTCAGCGACAGGAGATCGTAGCCCGGGAGATGACAATAAGCTATGAATTTTCAACACCGTGAAAATCTTAGGTTTTATGCAACTCCTGCTGCATTTTATCTCCATGTGCAAAATTATTACGCTCCGATGTACCGAAAGTAAAATGAGATACAGAGGCAGATGTAAACAGACGAGAAAATATAAAACGTATAATCCACAGGATAATGCGACCCCTAGGAAGGAATTATCACTAATGTTTTAAAAATCTATAATTTATATTCGTATGGAGCTTCATTTTTTAAATACCAAGTGAATACGGACAACAAAATTGTTGAATACATGATAACATAACCTCACAGATAGTTTCACAATTAGCACTGCTAGCATCAGAGGTCAGTACACACACTGTATGAAATTTGTGCTACTAGAGGGCAGCACTGGTACTGAAACAACTGCACTTATTTGGAATGTCACACGTATATAATTTTATACGTTATTTACAGAAACGAAAGTACTGTGGCATATAGACCCGTTGCTAAGCGGTGTATCTGTATACAGCGTCCGTTGTTAGGTGAGCCCGTAATATACACGCACGCAGCAATAGAAGTACTGTGTTTTCTATGTGGTCCGTGCAGAGATGTTTAAACCTGAAGGTTCAGAACTTAGGGTAGTCAGTTCTGTACGGGAGTCCGTGAAGAGAGGGCTGGAGCCAGAGGCATTGTTTGAGCCGATACCAGGAAACGCCTAGTAACAGACTGAGAACACTAGACTGTGTCCTCTAGTGAACTGTAAATTATGGAGATGGCGAGAGTGTTATAATTATTTATAGTTACGACCTGTAAGTTGTCAATAAATCTATTAACCAATCCAAACCCAGTCGAGAGTCACCAAATGCGTGTCAGTACTCGTGCATAGTGCATACACCTTTTGTCCCCATGACAACGCAATCATTATAGTCGCCATCTGCGTTCTGAACAGAAATATCATTTGTTTTTAATTCCTTAATTGTAGCCTGTAATCAGAAGAGTTGCAAAGTAAAAAAGCACGATTTAGATTTTCCCAAGTACGTGTGCAAAGTTTCGGTTTTAGAAAATTCTTCGTTCTTGCGTTAGAGCGTTAACATACAAACTACGCAAATTCGTTTGTATTTTCATAATGACTACCTCAGATTATGGGAAATTCGTTAGTAATAATTTTGAAAATACTTTGTAGGTGTCAGCTTAGGAACTGTTGCAGAGAGGGAGATGGAGAGGGGCAGTGTGTGTGTGTGTGAGTGTGTGTGTGTGTGTGATTCCATTATGATAGTTGTACATCCCTTCATAATTCTCATAGGAAGTCATTCCAATCACAGTAAACTAAAGTTGTCCCTGCCGGTCACGGTAGCCGAGCGGTCTAAGGCATGCACTGTCTTCGCTCGCTTGGAAACCGGGATCGTGGGTTCGAATCCCACTCAGGCCATGGATGTTTAGTTTGTGTGTGTGTGTGTGTGTGTGTGTGCGTTTTTCTGTGTTTGTGTACAGGTAGAGGCCTTGCGACGAGCTGATCAACCGCCCAAGCAGTCCTACCGAATGTGTAATATCTAGAAAAAGAGAAGTGAACGGAGAAGTTGATGGAGGTAGGCCTAGGCCTACTGGGGCTGTAGTGCCAAGGGAAAAAAAATATCCCTGTGCTTAATTAAATAAGCACTGTGCCATTAACACAAAGAGGGTAGTAGAGGTATATGGCTCCAACGTTCTTGACCTCGACTTGATGGAAGTGAGTGGTCAGCTCACGCCCCTGCTGCTTTACCCCAGGAGAAAGAGCCTCTGGTACCCATTAGATAGGAGACTGGTTTGGGCCCAGTGTCGGTCGGGACGCTCCCGGGAATTGAACTCCTGCCGTCCAGCTTTTAGTATGCTATACCGTCTGAGTTGCTTCGAGTCCTTCCAGTTTCAGTGAAGAAAGAAAAACGGAGCACTACAGTGAAGTCATGCATGCTTATCAGTATTGTTGCTCTTTCGTGATACTGTGACATACTGTTTGAAGCTGTTACTTTGAAGTGTGTCCATCATCGGAGATTATTAAAACGTCAGCTTTTCAGACATTGGTTATTTGTGTTTTCAGGTGAGCCATTATCTATGGTTTCAAAGTAGTCCTGGTGAGGGATCCAACAGTTAGGTTTCTTTTGCATCCTATTCACCTGAATACAAAATACAATCAATTTCCGAAGAGTGTTTACCAAATGGGGCAGTCAACACAACTATAACCATAATATTCAATAAGACAAAATATTGTGACGTGGATGGCGGAACAGGTAGTAGGTGTCACGTGAACTCTGCGTTTCCACGAGTGACGTCACGTACGCCCACTCCTCCCATCATTACGCAACATTCGGTAAACCCCCTCCCCACTAGGCTGTGACATCACGCAACAGGCGAGTCCTTGCAGCGACTATTGCTAGGCAATGAGTAGGAAGCAACACCTGACAACAATACCTCAAAGTCAAAGTCACATTGCGACTGACGGTCAGTCAGTCTGTCTGTCTTGGTGTTGAGTCCCGACTGGGACTCATGACCAGATTTTTTCTTTTCTTTATATGAAAGTTACTGTCCTGTTCATTTGGGGCGCCCTCTCTGACGAGAGGTCGGGTCTGTCATTTGTCAGTCATAGTCTGTGTTAGTAAGTCTATTGTCAGTATTTACATATATTTACAATTTAATCTTAATTCCTATTTCTATGTACGATATATACAAGTCCTCTGTCAATCCAGGCTCGGTACAGCAGATTTTGCCCTATTTCTAGTAATATTCGCTACCACAGTAGCCTAGTCACTTGAACGGTCGTATGCCTGACCGTCGCCAAGTTTAAGCCTCTTATATTTTCTGTGTCGGGCTTCACCTTGTCCGATGTTGCGGACATCAACAATACCTGATATCTGTTGCCGAGAAGCAATATATTCTCTATGTTGTTCGTGCCGAGCCTAAATAAGAAGCACCACGGACAACATAGAGAACTGGAGGCGGGGTAGAATACCTCCAACGTGACCCTGCGAGTCGTAGGAGACGAAAAGGGAAGTCTCAAATCTCAGACAGTAAAATGTGGTCGCGAGTCCCAACGGACTCGGACCCGAGAAAGACTGCGCTGGCAAGGGCCAGCAAAATATGCAAAAGACAGGCCCGTCCTCTCGTCAGAGAGGGCGCCCCACAAAAATAAGACCGTAACTATCAAATGGTAATGAATAATATCTGGTCATGAGCCACAGATTGGGCTCGATACCAAGACTTACTGACTGACTGACCGTCAGTCGCAATCTGAATCTGACTAAATAAGGAGCAGCGAACACTATTCAGTAGTAGTGAGTATTGAGTTACGAGAGAGTTACTAGTATGGAGGATTGAGTATTCAGTATGAGCTGAAGTCCAGCAGCTACGAGTCAAGTTTTATCGAGTGCATTGCAGTGACTCCAGCAGGAGAAGCAACTGTGATACTGCCGATGACAGTAACTGTGAAACTGTGAATTGTGTGACTGTAAGAGCGAATGTGCAATAAATGCGCAAGATTCAAAACGGCGTGAAGTTATTTGTCGCGTTACACACCCAACACGTGACAATATATATTATCGTATCAGCATTTATTTATTGTGAAGTTCCTTTTGCGATATGTTTCGACATTTTTAAGTCATCCTCAGGCAATACACAACCAATAGAATAAGTCCATGAACTGTGTCAAAGCATTAAATATGGATCCATTTTTTATAGAAATTTAATTAATAAAATTTCCAACTTATAAAATTAAAATTACAAGTTGTGGTTAGAAAGAATGAAAATATTAAATTATTAAAAATATTTTAAATGTTAAAAATATTAAAAGGTATATTAAACAGGTTATGAGTCGGCTAATGATTGAAATGTTCGAACTGCTAGTGTTGGAGGCTTGTAGTGTTGTGGTCCATCTCAATTTCTGTTGCTATGTAAGGTCTGTCTCTGGTATTTTTCTTATTGCTCTGTGAAATCTATCCGCAATGTTTTGGATAGAAATCCCATTCAAGTGTATTTTATGCGGGATTGCGTATTTCGTGGCTATTGTGCTGTGTATTTTCTTAAGTTCCCGTAGTGATGACCGTAATACCATGGCAACGGTTCCGTCACCTTGACGGAACAAGAAGAGTGTAAATTAAAACACGATTTAAAACATTGAGAAGGAGCCCAAAACAGCAAGTCCCCACCAATAGCAGTTCCACCATCTCAACCACAACGAAAGAAAAACAAACAAAGAAAAACTCCGTGGTTTTAGTCCTCAAGCGAACTATACCGACTGAGCGTCCGCTGCCTGTCGGCGAAGTTAGTGCTAACTTCAGCGGCTAGAGGGTGTCGCGTGATCAGCGCAACGAATCCCCACAGCCGATAATTTCGGTCTTCTAGAAACGAAACAGAGCAGACCAAAATTTGCCGACGTATAACGTGTTTTAATATCTTTTAATATTTCCAACACTTTTAGTACTTTTAACCTTTTTAATCACAACTTGTAATTTTTATTGTATAAATTGAAATTTTTAATAATATAATCTCTATAAAAATATGGTCCCATATTTAATGATTTGACACACTTCATTGACTTACGTTATTAGTTGGCTATAATCTGAGGATCACCTAAAAAGATCGAAAAAATTCGCAATAAGAACTGCACAAATAAATACACGTTGATACGATAGCGTATATTTTGTCTAATTGAGTATTATTGTTATTTTTGTGTAGATTGCCCCATTTGGAAAGTATGGTAAGACACACAACGAGATGCATATTGAAGTTCGGAGAAGGAGCGGTTTTAATATTCTCCTTCAGATGAACCTAGAGGAGTTACCACAGGCATGTCTGGATTACAGGCAAGAAGTTCAAGATAGATGGAACATCTACCAGTTTCCCTAACATCACATGTAAAGACACGCCTGAGTCCTCAATTGTAAAAACCGGTAAGTGCAATATGAATCAATACGATAAGCACTCCATCGGATTCAAGGTGAACACAGGGTTCATCGGACTAATGGAGGTGTGTTACGATCCTCAGCGCCACACCACACTGTACATCAAGTTCATCATCGTGCAAGGAGTGGAGAACCGCCAGAGGAATGTACCCAGGCAGAACTACTTCAGAAAAAGCGGCTTCTTTAAGGGTCTTAAACCACCAATTGAATCAGTTTACAACTGCAGAAGCGGGCAGTATGCCATATTTGCGAACTTGCTTGGCTCTGAAGAGCTAGCACAGCGATATATCGATTGCAGCAGTCGAGGAGGAGAGAGTCTCGAGAAGGGACACTTGGCCGCTTACGCTGATTTCGTGTATTACGCTCAACAGAAGGCAACGTTGCATTACATCAACACAGTGCCGCAGTGGCAATCATTCAATGCTGGCAACTGGAAAATTCTGGAAGAAAAAATACGAATATATGCCAAAGTCCATAGTACCAATCTCGTTGTTTATGCTGGATTTCACAAGGTGGCAAGACTGCGTGATAAAAGCAATAAAGAGCATCCGATATTCCTCACAAAAGATCTGAATAACAATGACGCCATTCCCGTACCGGAGCAGATGTACAGAATTGTGTATGACCAAGACATGAGGCGCAGTATCGTTTTCCTTGGAATAAACAACGTCGAGATAAACCCTAACGTTTCGAAGTCCATGATCTGTGAAGATGTATGTGAGCATTCAATGTCATTCTTCACCGGTTGGAACAGAAAGAATGTCTCCAAAGGTTACATCTACTGCTGTAAGCTTCATGATTTCCTAACCTCCAGTGGCCTCAAGTCAGCATTTCCGGTTAACAATGTGCCTCTTCTTAACTGAATCTTCTGTGAACACGACATTCTCTGAGGAGTGTTAAGTAGACTTATTGCTCTTCAGCTGTTCGTAGCGATGATCCTCCAATGATTCTTTTAAGTTACAGCCAGGAAAGGAAATGGTTCCTCAGACTCGATAGCCGCTCCAGACAAGCAGAAGAGGCATGCAAAGACAAGCACAGGTTACGTTCGAGAATTCGCTCTGACGTATATCGTAGTTAGGGATAAGAGTTACGGCGTCTTCAGGCTTCTTTAAGAAGTGGCACTCTGAAACTTAACTGATGGTGTCTGCCTGCACCTGCTTCAATTTCCATTTCTGGTTACAGCCTATAGGCGTGCTGTCCCTCGCAGTCCCAAAAACGGGGGTCTTACATTAGTGAGACATTTTGTCTCGCTTCTGTTGGATCTCTCTGTAGGCTACATAGAATTTCAAACTGAAACGGACACTCGCTGTGTTTAATGTACTGTAGAAACATAATATTAACCTCATGATAATTCAATTCAGTTCTTTATTTACGTGCAAATTTAACAGAGAAGATGCCAATTGCAAAGTTAGCACATGTAAGAAGAAACAACAATAAAATAATGTGGCCTATAAAACCGTTGCTAAGAGGTGACTCTGTAAACAGCAGCCGTTGCTAGGTAAAGTCCGCTACATACACGCAGGCAAAACTGAAACAACGTGATGCAACCCGTTGCTAGGTAACGGATTGGAAAAACATGTCTACAAAAACAGAATGATTGTTGGAAACGGTGTTTCCTCTTTGTCCCGTGAAAAGTGGTGAAGGGAAGAAAACTGGAGCGATCAAGTTAGTTGAGGGTTGGCAATTCGGTGAACAAGAGTTCTTAAAGGGAGACTAAGTAGGGTTAATGCTATGGTTGAGTGAAATTGAGATGGTTCAGTTGTGGGGTAGTCGCTGGACATAAAGGACCTGAGCGCGGGAAGCTGAAGAATCTCCGATGTTAGAAGACGTTGTTAGGGAACGGCTGTTGAAGACTTTGCAGGCTGGAGAGACTTAGAGTTCGCAGCGCTGATTTGTAAAATTTGGAGATTATCAATGACTCTGTAATTTATTATACGAGTAGTTCCTACTTGTGTCAATAAATTCTATCCAATCCGTACCCTGTCTACAGTCACACCCTAAATCGTGACAATAATAATAACAACAATAATAATAATAATAATAATAATAATAATTTTCTCTATTAGGGTCATGGAGAATTTATAAATTGTTGAATGGAGCAATGATTCTCAACCTCTTTGATCTGAATATATGGTCTATCTTTAGTAAAAACTGGGTGAATCTTTTTCCAAGCAGCATATTTAGTGATTATGTAAACATAGTGTAATTTAATCACTAATGGAAGTTCTTAAGGACTTGAACATTGTAAGATATTCTGATAATATTGTTTTGTTGTTAATAATTAAATTTAACAATATAGTTTTGTTGACAGTAAAGTGCAGAGAATATTTCGTGTAATTGAATTTTATGTGACCGAATTAATTGCTATTTTCAATGCCTCACTTCCCACGCAACCAAGCATCAAGTCTCACGAGTGAGACGCGTTCCACAGGTTAAGAAATACTGATATTGCATTCATCGTTTGTATTAACTACAGGATGCTGTAAAAATAGCAACAGGCCATGAAGGTCCATAGGGTTGTGAGACGTAGAGGCCCCACATTTCCTAGAGAATCGGTTCATAGATGGCGGTAAAGTTTTCAGCCTTACGCGCCAGCCGAACTTTACTCCCAGGAAGATTCCTGGTACTCAGTTTTCTTAGGGACTGAGTCGACTACAGGCCATAATGAGGCTGGAAGGATTAGATAAATTGAAAATATCCACCATATCGGGACTCAAACCCGAGACCTTCTGACTTTGCAGCATAGTGCCTCAGCCAACTACGCTACTGCGTGCCCCAATAGGATAATAAATTGCATACTAATTTCAAAACAAGTTTGAAAATAAATTGCATTACGATCCAGGTTGTGGTGTTCATAGTAACAATATTGTTAACGGTGAAGCTAATTATCTCTGAATTCGGCACTTCAAATTTCATGTCCATAATCTGTCATGACAAAATTACGGGATGTTGTTCAGACAGTGTGAATTTTTGAATGAAGATACGTGTAAAACATTCGAAAAATTAGGCTCTATTTCTGTATCCAGTACTAATCACGCAACAAGAAAGTTAGCTTTCAAGAACAATTCATGCTAGATTTAAGGCTAAGTTCATGTAAATAAACTTCCTTTACCAAATGTAAGACGTCTTTACTAAATCAGTTTGTTTGCTACAAGAATTTTCTCGCTTTGTTCCAGCTGAGTACTATCAAAGGCCATAAATTAGAAAGATCTCAGTCCTTAAATGTCGTAAAGTCCTTCTACATACAAACATTCAGTAAATAATGACTCACCTGAAGTCAAATAACTGTGTAATTCTATAATTAGATGATATCAAAGCTTGCATAATTTTAGTCATATTTCTTGTCCGTAGAATTTACATGTAAACAGGACAATGAAATGAAGATATGAGTACAATATAGTATTACTATACAGGAAGATCTGGGAAGAATGACTTGCCAACTTGACTTCGATGCGATATGAACCGCATAGAAAACGACGCCTCCAAAAATTCTTGGTTCTCGCTGGGACGTCTTCACCGAGTTGTTGTCTATTAAAGACAGAGGGTTAGACAGACCCACAGACTCTCATATGATGAGACACGGACGGCACAGAAAGAGTCCAGCAATTCTTCTACTGTTACGTATATTCGTTGTCAGGGGGAAAGTGTTTACCGCGCCGTTGTCTAGCAACATTTCGAAGGATGTACTTTACCCAGCCGTTGCCTACCGACGGTAAGAGAGGTACACATAAAAACACACAGACTGTTGGGAGGGATTTGTGATATACGCCTTTAAGATGGGCTAACTTGCCATGATATACATACCAAGACTCAAATATTCAAAAGTTGATGGGGACACAGATAGCATGGAGATCGCATAAGCCTACTTTAAGAAAGTAGGCTAGCAAATCAAGAGGACTGATCACTGCAACATTACGCATTTTAATAACTTCATGCTTATCCGGAGGACAGTAAAATTACGACCATGCGATTTAGATCTGTCCACTGGGTCACCCTGCTCTTAATGAACCTCCCTGAGATGGTCGAAATATGCTCAAAAATAGTTTCAGTCATTACAGAATTGAATTCAATGGCGGATTAAATAACACAGGCCCATGGGCATGGGAAAGTCGGGGACAAGCCAGGCATCTCTCTCATTAGAATTTTTAGAAAAAATAAAAATTTAAGAAGAAACACCAAATATTAACAAAAAAATTATCAAGAAAATATTCTACCCTAGGTGCTTCAGGGTGGTCAGTAAAACAGCCTCAAATATTGTGTAGGATTTCAAGTTCTCGCGACGGTGGTTATGAAGTGTTCTATTTTTTATTTTTTTTAATTCGCTTAGTGGGGAGTAGAGTCCAGCTGGGTCCACTCGGTACGGCGGCCACTGATTGGCCTATTGTACCAGCCCCAGATGATAGGTGAGGGTGATTGTTGAGCAATAGGTGGAATGAAGATTGGCAGGGGAAACCGAAGTACTCGGAGAAAACCCGCCCCAGTGCCACTTTGTCCACCACAAATCCCACTTCACCAGACCCGGGATCAAATCCGGGCCGCCGCTGTGGGAAGCCAGCGACTAACCTCTTGAGCTATGGCGCAGCCATATGAAGTGTCTATCTTCTGGGTTTCAACTCCGTGTATTCCGTTATAAATCAACTGCTTATCACCTTCTTTCATGTCGGTTTCTTTGTTCGATATATTCATCGAACTTGAATATGGAGGCGATATGTTCCTCCGAAATGTCGGTTGGCTTTCAAAAGACTACACGACGTTATATCCCAGAAACCAGGAACTAGTCTTAAATATTAGCTTCAATCAATATTCTGGCTGTCCCACCTCCTGGAAAAAATCCTGGCAGTACTTAAGCATATGTTTCCGCATGTAGAGGAGCAGGAGAACAGGAGAACAAGCATTTTAAGACTCCCCAATTTGCACCAGATACAGACACACATTGAGCAGTGACGAGACACACCAACTGCTTCAGCTGAAGAACTCTGAAGAAGCGTTTCTCTCTGTATCACTCGCGAAGTCGAGAATTGGAATATAATCTCCGCACGAGTCAAACAAAATTCAAAGAATATTCTCACTTTCAAAACATGGAACAAAGCAGTTTTTGATCATTTACATAGTGTACACACGTAATCTCCTTGCCTGTAAGAATCTCTGTTTGGCAAAAGCCTACCTTACTGCACAATGTCGACTCTGCGTTCTTTGTTGCATCACTTCCTTGAACATAAACATGAAGCCCTTAAATCTAAGACAGCTCAACGAATTCTATGGAATTATCTGACTGCAGATATATCCCACTTTAACACATGATCGAGACATGTGCCATTTATGTCCAAGTAAGAACACACCAGCAACAGAGAACACTGGCGACTTGCTCTGCTCGCGTTAGAGTGTCACTTTGAGGGTTCATAACTCAAAATTGGAACCAATAATTACCTGTGTATTCCACACGAGACTGCGAAATTCTAAACCCGTTAAACGACCTATTCTATTGCAAATTAACTCTCCTTCCAAGCCGTCCTACAAACAAAATTTGCCGTATTTTCCTCCTCGCGACAAGGCATTCCGCACAACACTCAGTGGGCTTGCTGTCACGTGCTCACCCTGCCTGGCGAGGCATCATGGGAACGGACGCTGCCAACATACGAAAAGGCAGGGTGCTTTCAGCCTAGTGCTCATGTGTTTTACAGGGAAGAAAATACAGCTTATATGACAATTACATTGATAAAATACTCAGACATAAATATGAAAACTGACAGATAATATTTCAGAATTCACGTGAATTCGTTTGTACCCACTTTCCTGTAACCGTCCAATAAACAACCAGACATCACACACCCGTCTCTTGAGAGCTCAGTTGATTTCCAAAATGCAAGACAACTCATCCCGCTGAGATACAGATCCACCCTCTGTGTCCGTGTTGCAATATACCGGTATGAGCTCGTAAAATATATTGAACGAACTGAGTGACTTAAGGAACTCAATAGAATTACTATTAATATGTTGTATTAATATACCTTAATTCAAAATTTAAAGACAATGAAATCAAAACGTAAGATAAAGACAGAATATGTAAAGGTGCATGGGATGACAAAATCACACAAAGTTTATTCGGAAAACCTGAGCGTAAGAAAATATACAGGAGACCTAAGCGTAGACGGGAGGTAAAAAAATATAAAGCTATCCCTGTAATAGGCTGTGGGGGTCCATAAAATTGTGAGACGTCAGGCTCCCACATTTTCTAGACAATCAGCTAACAGATGGCGGTGTGGTTGTCAGCCTTACGCGCCGGCCTCCCTTTACCACCAGGAAGATTCCTGGTAATATTAAACTGAATTTTGAAGAAAGAGCGACTGAATCCATTTTGCTCAGGATTAGAACAAATGAGACAGGCTTTCGCGGAAATAGCAACATACATTCCAGTTCTATAAAAGTCGGGCAAATGACAGACAAGCTGAGTGATTATCAGCTTCTCAGGAAGGTCTTTACTCCGTAAAGTATCAAGTATCATCAGTCCGATCGGATGAGTAACTTTGTTTTGGAACATATTCAACGATTTCATTTTGTTCCCTCCGCCCTATAATTCAAATTCTAATTAGAATAACATCTGCCTTCGTCTCCTTACGCCTCGCAGCAAAAGCTGATCTTGCAGCAAAGAAAAAGAAGAAAGTTGGGTTCTTCATATCACGAGCGATTCATGATTGATGTGATGATAAAAATCTTTTTGCATTTACAAATATTAGCAAACCGAGTACGGGCTGAACAAGGTGTAATTTAATATTCTCTCCGATAAAATCTTTAGTTGGGTACAGTTCAGTGACGGGTTCTTGTAAACACAGTAACGAAACTTCGGGTTAGGAAAAGGACGGGGATCTTCTTGACCAGCCAAGATCAGCTCCCCAAGAAGAACGCCACTCCACGAGTAAAAACAAACAAATATTGGTTTTGCTGAATTCCTCTCCACAAGCATTTCTGAAGCGTCGTATTGGACAAACGAGCAATGAACAGACTCTGCAGGAACAGTTCCATTTAAATCAACATTTTGAGCCACATGGACTGGCGTCCCAGAAACCCTAGCGGGAAAGGAGCCCTTGCAGTATAACCTCACAGCCACTGAGGGAAGCAGAGCCACACTGAGTCCACACGTGCAAGGTGCAGTAAGGACGAAGCTACAAGGCGGAAGGTCGCGGGTTCAAGTCCCGATGAAGTCATTGGATTTCTTCAATTGATCTAACCCTTCCAGCCGCACTATGGCCATGGGGTTGACTCAGCCTCTAACAGAAATGAGTACCAGAAATTAATTAAATAATTTTCAAGGGGAATA